TCTTTGTTCTCCTTGCTGCAAAGGCTAGCTATCATCTGGCAGAAGAGGAGAGGAGTTCTTAGGGCACATCTGCCTTGGAGACCAGTGGAGGGAGACAGTGGGAATAGGCACTAGAGAACTTCCAGGAGTAGAAGCAGACTCTGGGCAGAACAGAAGAGAAAGAAGGTGCGTCTAAGTGCAGTACATCCACGTTTATTGCTAAAACTGGTTAAAACCATTTACAAAGGATGACAAGGCTCAGGCATATAAAACGTCAATGCAGTGCTCCTGCGTGTGTTCCACAGCAGCCCAGAAATTGCAGTGGCCATCTTGGAGTTGCACCTGCGCTCCCCCCCTGCTGCTAGATGGCACAGTGAGCTCCAGGAAACAGCGACAGGAGCCCTGCATTGACATTCTACAGTTGCAAGAAAAAGTATGTGAACCCCTTTGGATTACGTGGAGTTTTGCATGAATTGGGCATAAAATGTGCTCTGAACGTCATCTAAGTCACAACAATAGAAGAACACAGTCTGCTGAACATAACACTACACAAACATTAGATGTTGCCATGGTTTAATTGCACATAACATGTAAACATTCACAGTGCAGGGAGGAAAAAGTATGTGAACCTTTGGACTAAATAACTGGTTGACCCTCCTTTGGCAGCAATAACCTCAACCAAACGTTTCCTGTAGTTGCAGATCAGACCTGCACAACGATCTGGAGTAATTTTGGACCACTCCTCTTCACAAAACTGTTTCAGGGTAGCAATATTCTTGGGATGTCTGGTGTGGATCGCTCTCTTAAGGTCATGCCACAGCATTTCAATCGGGATGAGGTCAGGACTCTGACTGGGCCACTCCAGAAGGCGTATTTTGTGCTGTTGCAGCCATTGTTTTGTTGAATTACTTGTATGCTTTGGGTCATTGTCCTGTTGCATCATGCATCCTCTGCGAAGCTTCAGTTGGCGGACAGATGGTCGTACGTTTTCCTGCAAAATGTCTTGATAAACTCTGGAATTCATTTTCCCATCAATGACAACAATCCGTCCAGGCCCTGAGGCAGCAAAGCAGCCCCAAACCATGATGCTCCCTCCGCCATGTTTTACAGTGGGGATGAGGTTTTGATGTTGGTGTGCTGTGCCTTTTTTTCTCCACACATAGTGTTGTGTGTTCTTCCCAAACAACTCAATCTTGGTTTCATCTGTCCACAGTATATTTTGCCAGTAGTGCTGTGGAACATCCAGGTGCTCTTTTGCAAACTTCAAACGTGCTGCAATATTCTTTTTGGACAGCAATGGCTTCCTCCGTGGTGTCCTTCCATGTACTCCATTCTTGTTTAATGTTTTCCCTATTGTAGATGTGTCAACAAAAATGTTAGCATGTGCCAGAGATTTCTGTAGGTCTTTAGCTGACACTCTGGGATTCTTCTTTACCTCATTCAGCATTCTGCGCTGTGCTCTTGCAGTCATTTTTACAGGACGACCACGCCTAGGGAGAGTAGCAACAGTGCTAAACTTTCTCCATTTGTAGACAGTCTGTCTTAAACGTGGACACATGAACATCAAGACTTTTGGAGATACTTTTGTAACCCTTTCCAGCTTCATGCAAGTCAACAATTCTTGATCGTAGGTCTTCTGAGAGCTCTTTTCTGCGAGGCAAGGTTCACATCAGACAGTGCTTCTTGAAACCAGTAAACCCAAAACAGGTGTGTGTTTTTTTAAGGGCAGGACAGCTGTCAGCAACACATCCAATATCATCACACTGATTGGAGTCAAGGTTGGCTCACTCCTGGCTCCAATTAGCTCTGGGAGAAGTCATTAAGCTAGGGCCTCACATACTTTTTCCTCCCTGCAACTGTGAATGTTTACATGTTATGTGCAATTAAACCATGGCAACATCTAATGTTTGTGTAGTATTATGTTCAGCAGACTGTGTTCTTCTATTGTTGTGACTTGGATGACGTTCAGAGCACATTTTATGCCCAATTCATGCAAAACTCCCACGTAATCCTAAGGGGTTCACATACTTTTTCTTGCAACTGTATATGCCTGAGCCTTATCCTTTGTAAGTGGTTTTAACAGTTTTTACCAATAAACATGTGGATGTACTGCACTTAGCAGCGTCTTCTGTCTTAGTTATAGGTTGAGGTGGTTGTCATTTGTTTGTATACAGTGACAAGGGTAGCCTCATGGAGTAAGCAGGGTTATATGGATACACCGAGGAGCATGCTTTATGAAGCTTTGCCAGTGTCCAATCACCTGAAGGTAGCGGCTTATAACAAATGGCCTAACAAAGTTTCTTTGTCTTGTACTGTAAGATTAGGATATATAGCTTTAGACAAAGTGTATTAACATGTATGTGTAAAAAAAAAAAAATTTAACAATTGGTCCAACAAAAAAATGTATTTGGTGGTTTAAAATGGTTTCTTTTGTCTGCAATAAGATTGCCACTTTTCTCTGTGAGTCTTTCAAAGAGAGTCTCTAAAAGAGATTCTGCTGTAATACTGGTTTCCCATTCTGAGAAAGGATGCAGAGAAGTTGAAAGGCAGTATCTCCCCCTTAGCCATTCACAGAACACAATGCATTGTGGGAGATTAGTTTGTAGGATTTCTGTGAATGATGGAGAGAGCGGGAAAGCAGCACAACTCAGTATCAGTTGCTGCTGTTGTTCACCTTTACAGCCTTGGGAGACGGCTGCGTAGGGCAGCATCTGGTGGCTGTGAAGGAGCCACAGTAGGAAGATTTATAGCAGAAGCAGCAGCCTGCAGGTACTGGGATATACACAACTAATTTGTTTTGTGCGGTTTCCTAAAAGAAGATACGAAAACTTCAGCTTTAAATCATCAACTTGTTTTTGTACCAATCTGGTCACTATTGTTACTTACCCATTTGCTATGTAGAAATGTCAAGTGACCCTCTGCCCCCTTCATGGGAACTATAGCTATTGTTTGAATATTGTGCACTTTTCTTAAAAATATCTTATTGAAACTAAAATGTGAAGCACAGTAAATGTTCCAATAAATGCAAGTAAACACTGTTCCATAAATCTCAGTTAAAATTCAAATACATTGCAAATCACTCCACACTGCTTCACAAAAACAAACATGAACATTTTAAAGCTTTTCATTTTAAGCCACATGCTAAGACTGTGTGCATGAACATCAATGCAGGGGAAGTGAACATCTAGATACCCTTAGAGACACTTCAAAGAATAAGAGTACTTCAAAACACCTAAGCTCCTTTACTATTATCCTGGCAAGTCAAGCATGTTTGTAAATGTACTTTTTTCAGTTATTTCTCAATGTCTTGAGGGCTGGGGGGAGAAGGTGTGCACAGACATTGTCCTCTGCATACAGATTTAGATTATAGCATTTTTGGCATCATAGTATCTGCATGCTTCCTAGGCTTAAAGTGATTGTAATGGCAGAAGGTTTTATTGCCTCAATGCATTCTCAACAATAAAAAAAAACCTTTTGTGATCAGCCCCCCTTCCCCCCAGCTCCCCTATTTACTTGAGCCCGATCTCAATCCACCACTGCTCTCTCCTCACTGGACATGAAGGTAGCGGTGGGAGCCATTGGCTCAAACTGCTGTCAATTAAATATGGTGACAAGGGAACGGGGCCAAGCCACGCTGTATGTGTCAATAGGCACCCGCACAAGCTTGCTATGGGGGAACTCAGAGGTGAAGAAGAGCCAGGAGTGCCAGCAGAGGACCCCCGAAGAAGACTGGTGCTGCTCTGTGCATAACCATGACATGTTTATTTATTTTATGCAACTTACCAGAAAGTCTGGCAGCCATGGATTGATAACTTCCTGCCCCACTGACTTTGACATGACATTACTGGAGACTTGAGTCAGAGGTCTCTTAAAATCATCCTACTATCCACTAAGGATGCTACTACACACCAGGGAACCCACCCTTCTCTACTCTCTCCCACACGTCCCCATCCCTTCTCAAATCTCTGACATCCTACTGAACTTCTTGCTTCACCGGAATCTCAAGCTTTGGCTGGAAAGGGGCATTTAGTCCATCCACTCTGGACAGTTGAGTCTCATTTGTTAAGCTTGTTTGTTTGACTTTTCGTGTGTCTTCTCATCTATGTGCCAATAATGCTCCATTGCTCCCTGCGAGGAGATTGATCTGATTTGCAAAACTTTAGTATTCTACTTGTACATTGTTTTTCAATAAATAAAACTCTGTTTTCCCATCCCTGTCAGTGAATTTTGCTTAAAGTGACTTAAAAGTTAAATTTTTTTTCTTGTTCAAAAGGTGATGCCTATTATCTTATGGACACTTCTGCTTCCTAAAGATGTGCTCTATAGAAATTATTAGGTCTACTAGCATTAAACATTGCCAGGAATGCAACTTCAGTTATGACACTTTTTTTTATATGAAAGATGAATTCCAGTGTGTACATAACCCCAAAAACTAGTAATATCCCATATAATGTCTAAAAAACGCCTGATCTTTTTAAAACACCCAGCTTAGGTGAGCCAAGATCTACCACTATGCTGAAACAAAAAATAAAATCAAAGGATATTTTAAATAAAGGAGGTCAATATGCCATTCTCATTCTTCAGTTTACTTAAAATATTACTTACAGTATTACCACTCATGGTATTGCAGAGGCAACATATTACTTAGCTTTTCAGCTCAGATTACAAGGATACTGAAAATGTGATGTCTGGAATTTTGACATTGCATGTAAAAACCCTTTATAAAACAATGTTACTAACATGTACAGGAAACCATAGTATAACTACTCCCCCTTGTGTTTTATACAGTCATGGCAGCCTGTTCTAAAATGTTCATATTTTACAAACACCCCAGCTAGAGTCTATCATAAAGTATACATAACCACAGAACGTTTTCATATCCGTGTTCATCATAGCTGGCTTTTAATGAAAGCAGGTATAGCTAAAAAGAACAGCAATCAGAGTATAAAAACAAAGATAAAATCTGTACAAGATCTGAAAAAAAAAAAATCAGTCTGTAGTACAAATATAGGTAAGGACCACTAGCGGTTGATGGGCTTTTTAGGTTTCTTTTTCGCCTTTCCAAGTTTTGCAGCAGTGTCCACTTTGCCTTTGGCATCTTCATTAGGTTTTTTTTTTCTTGATTCCCGGAGCTCCTCCAAAGTTCTCATTTGCTCCATCTTCTTGTTGTCCTGCCTTCTTTCTCTTCCTCTTCTTTTTCTTAGATTTAGTGCCTGGCTGCTGTCCTTCAGAGTTCTCCTCTTTGTTAGCTGGAGTGTTCGGATTGCGATCCTCTCTAGCTTTGCCCTTCTTCCGGTTCTTGCGTTTCTTGCTCTCTGGTAACACACCTTTCTTTTTCTTGGGCAGGGTATTTTCCTCCGAAGCTTCCCCGGGTATTACTTTTGTCTTTTCCTTTTTAGGCCGCCTAGTTATGGAAAAAAAAGTCAAATAAAGACATTTGTAGGTTTTTTTTTTGTTTCTTTTGTTTGTTTTTAAACATTCTAAAGTAAAGCTCAAGGCAAAAATGTTACTTCATTTTTGACAGAATAGGAAAGGTTTGAAACCTCTGAAGTTTAGATTGCAGTTTGTATCTCTGTTGGGGTGATTGCACGTCAGTTGCTTCTCTGAATCCTTAGTAGCTTTCCCATCATACCAAATTAATGTCAATGGTTTAAACAAACCAGCATAAAAGATAAACATCACATAGATACAGTATATAAATCTATTTATTCTCCTAGATTGTAAACTCGAAAGAGCAGGGCCCTCGATCCCCTCATGTTTTGCATTGTATTGGTATTGTTCTGTCACATGTTCTGTCCCCCTTTGTAATGTACAGCGCTGAGCGAACTATTGGCGCTTTATAAATACAGTATAATAATAATAATATTTATGTCATTAGGTATATCTTTACATAGTAAAGCAATTTTTGCATGTGTCAATATAAGGTAAGATAAGGAAGAAGAGCTCTTTCTTAAGGACTTGTTTGCACCATGTCCATTGAGCTTTATTTTACTGCACATCGCACATGTATGGTGTGAACAAGACACAGAAAACAATTGTTTTCTATACGTTTGGTGGTGTGCAGTAAAGTACAGCTCAATGGACCCAGTGTGAACAAGTCCTCACACAAACCTAGCCCTGTCTTACAGGCAAGAATTTTTACTAAAGCACCACTCTATGTTCTTGTACATTTAAATGTGAATAAGGGAAATAACATTAGAAACACCTAAGAGCTCTTATCCAACATGTGCCCACAAAACAAGCTTGGGTATGTTGAAACAATGCACAACACATAATATACATACATAAATCCAAGTAACTTCATCACGTGCCAGTACATGTCTTCCACTCTTACTGGTTTCCCAAAGCCCTCTTTATGGTTCAAGTCTTGGAGGACAGGAAGGAGACTTGCCAAACTTATTTCAAGTTTCTGCAATGAAAAAACACAGCAAATATACCTTAGTGAAGACGGGTCGGGAAGTCTTAACATACAGTATGTATACCCCATTTTTGTACTTATCTATGGTGTGCAAAAAATATCAGCCAGAAATTGTGTCAAACTTACAGAACAGGTAGAATGTCTGCAGGGGAATGTCTAGCAGAGTCTCAAAACCTGTGGAGCTGCAGACAGGAACAGGATATATTCTCCACTTTGCATAGACATCTCTAGACCGCTTTTAGTTCCCTTTATGTAGCCTTACAGAAATTTAAACTCTTATGAAATGTGCTTATGATTAGGCAGAAGGAACATGTAGCAAAGAAAGAAGTTGGTACCAAAAATGAGATTTTGACATTTTAAAAGTTTTATATGCTATCATACATACTCAAGTAGTGCTTACCTGGTGACATCATTAGACAGAAACAAATCATTTGATCATTGATTATTATTACCAATGACTAATTATTCCTTAATTTACTGTTTGTAACTTGAGAGTGAAGACTGAACTCTGGGCTAAACAATTTTCACCTAGATACATAGGACATGTGTAGCCTTCAATGAATTTTGAGCCTCTTTGATGCAGAAGTTTACAGGAATGCTAGTTTAAACTTTCCCTGCAATATCCATCTGTGTAGAAGATTCTTGCAGTAAAGACTGGTCACCGCTCTTGCCTCTTCATGTGGTGGGTGACTGTTTTTTTGAATCTGTCCCTTCACAGTTTTGTAAGGGCAGGATTTGTAGGATTACATCAGAGCTGCCTGTAGCATAATAACTAGCGTGATGACTGACTACTTGGATCCTATGGTCTTTCCTCACCCATACCTGCCCCCTTACGTTTATCACTGCGGGATCTTGTGATATCATGCCTTTGCAGTGTCCATCTATTTACCAGCACCCAACTATGGAGGAAAAAACTTGTCCTGACTAATGCCAGCTTCCTACCCCCCATAATGCCGGACCCAATATCAAGAACATGCTGAATGAGCAAAAAGAATGCTAAAAAAAAAAAAAAAGCATTCCCTGCTCCAAATCTAACATCATATAGCAATCCAGGAAACCCACACCCGTGCCTCAATGTAGGGTGCCGTGAAAGCAGTCCGTCATGGGACTGCTACTTACAAACCCGAAAACTGGCGCGCATGTCAAAGAGAAGCCATATATTGCGGCAAGTTTCACATGTGTAAAGAGCTCAGTTCTAATGGTTAGTAAGAAGTTCAGACATCATAAAGATATCAAAATACACAATGACTGAAAACAGAGTATGAATGGCACTTGCAGTTCCAAACCTGATTCCTTCTTGGTCTTAATTTGTATGCAACACCAGCCTTAAACTGTAGGGTCTGGACAAGCACAGAGCAAACAGCCTGTCAAACCAAAACAAGCTCTGTCCACAGAAACCCATACTTCTCAAAGCTGTGGAACCACATCCGATATCAAATACACAAATGCTGTGGTCACAGAAGTAACGCAAGATAACACTTAGCCCTAGATTCATCTATGCTTGGTGGGTCTCTGTAGTAATATTAGCTTGCAGCTCACCCTTTAACCAGTTACCTTTGAATTAACTATTACACTGCCTCTTCAATGAGAATTAAAAACTAAGCTCTCACCAATGGTTTGTTTAGTAAATCTAACCAAATAATTAAGGCCTAATATGGAGAAAAAGTACTATAGATTACATTCATTGGTCAACTGTTTTCTCAATTTAAAAAAAAAAAAAAAGACAATGATTTAGATTACAATTTCCTAACTAAAGTATAACTAAAGGCAAAACTTTTAATAGATTTGGGTAGAATGGTGAGAGGTTAGAACCAGAAGTTATTGCTGTCTGTGTTCCCTTTAGGGAAACTCATTCTTTCCAAATGCCCTGATCCCCAATGTCACTGGGAACAAAACATAATTCTGAATTGCCACTAGAACAAGACTAGGGGAGAAATCTTCCAACAGGGACACTTGCACCCATGATAATCTTCTAAGAGGGGATTTCTCTCACATAATGGAAGTAAAGGAAAACGTCTTACATTAGATACAACTGTCAAAAAAAATTGCCAGCAGTTTTAACTTTTTTCTAATTATGTAACTGCTTTAAGAGCCAATCACATTGGTCAAAAGATACAGAAGTCATGCTGCCTCCTTGACATTGAAGCCCACCTAAAAGGATGCCAAGGGGCAGCATTCAGGTGTTAAAGAAGGGCATCAGCAGAAAATAAAATTATAAGAGGACTCCAGGAGTGCAGTGGGGTTATGGGGAAGAAAGTCCTTAAAAACGTTGCCAGTGCCCGATCACCTGATTGTACATATTCCTAACCTACGGTGTATGAGTATGTTGCCCGTGTCCTGTATTGTGCAATTAAAAGAGAAAATGGCTTCTTTTTTTTTTCCTTATTTTTACTTGCCTAGGTGAATGCAGCATCGGTGTGATGCTGCATCTGTCCCCATAGGCTCTAAGGGTGAGAACTCCGTGATCACTCGACTGATGAGTTCTCACAGCTGCTCTGAGCAGAAAGCAGTGACTGTTCTGCCCCCCCCCCCAGCGGTCACTGGAGCACTGGGCAGGGGAGAAAAACAGCTGGCTCTAAGCACTTCACTGAGAAACAAAGCCAGGTTTACTTTAAAGTCGGGATCTTTCCCCAGCCTGGACCGGCTGAATGATGTCAGCCGACAGTGGACTTCAGCCCGCTGTCAGCTGAAAACAGGTCACAGAGTGTAGAACGAACTGCACTTCTTTGATCCACAGAAGTACAGCCAAAAGAGCTTTGGCTGCTGTTCTCCTTTAAGATATATAATTATCAGTGTATGGTTTCAAGGCTAAGCTAGTTTGCACATTAAAAACATTCTCAAATTCAGAAACTTGAGATACAATTATCAGGTTATAATCTCAGAAATCTAAACTGTTGTTTCTCAGTTTCTAACAAATGACTACTACCCAATTACAATGCAAATGTCTACCCCAAGTACCCCCTTTCCTTGGCCCTGCATATTTCATACATCCCCCAGCATGTGTACATTTATACGCTTCTTTCTCTTCTATCACTATGCCATTGTACTGCAGTCTTCCATTCTAACAAAATCAAAATTATGTGTCCTTAAGAAATGAAACATGAAGAAAATTAGTTTAATATCATGTTTCACTTCGTTTCTTTAAAGAAACTAACTGAAGTCTTTGGTTGTTGCAGACAGAAAGGTATTGCTAAAACAATTTCATATAGGAAAAAACATATTATTTGGCATTAGTCTTTTATACATACCTGTTGATTTATGACTCTGAGTAGGTAGTTAAGGAGTTCAAAGCACTTTATTAATTTTTCTTGATCAACTTTCACTTTAATCTCTTCTATAGCTTTTAACATCTGCCAATAACAGAAATTCCTTGTTACCCAAAATTATTCTATATATAACTTGATCAACTTGCAATTTGAAAACAAACCAGACATTGTGTACAATAATGTCGCCAGCACTGGACTATGGAAAATCAGTCGGACATTCTACAAATTTCACCCAACTGACTCCTCATTTACAATGTTTATCTTTGCTTGTAGTATGTCACCACCTCACAGCTAAGAATGTGTTGTGATCCAGCTCAGGAAATCCTCTCTGCATTCCAGTCAGACACCTGTCAGCTCAGCAGACTGCAGTGCTTCTAGTGGGCACGTAAACAACACTGGTATTGACACAACAGGAAATGTCTCCAAACAGCACAAGACATCACTGTGCCAGAAACTGAACACAACAAAGGTCATAAAGACAATACCACAGAATACTAGAATAATAGTACAAGTGAATGAAACTAAAGTCTTCACCACCCATCACCTCCTCCTGGGGTGTTAAAAGAGGTGACATGCCAACCCTTCATCAAATACGTGCACCTTTATAAACTAGAGATGTCATTACAACGGTTAGATCGTTCTACAGCTCACCCTCTGCAGATTGTCTGCCATTCCTCCAAGGACTTTCACTATTGTGCACAAAATTATTGTATACTAGATGTGGTACGCAACAAGCCACAGATTCTCCTAAGGCAGTAATTGTGCATTGATAAATAAAATAACCAGAAGTGATGGCAGAATTTAGACTTCGTACTTTTGCACCACATAACGTAGGCCCTACCACCTAGATATAAGAAAAGACTAGTCATTCTACATATTTTATAAAATGCAGATCGGTTATATAGACCGAACTAAATGGACTTACCTCTGTAACCTGTGTCAGACTTTCTTTAATCAGATCCTGCCACTCGCTCTGAGACAGGGACTGTGTTTGAGCAAGGTTCTGCAGAGCTTTCATGAGAAGAGTGCATGCTTGTGCCTGAGAAGAAAAGAATATGTTTATCAGTATTAATTATCCCACCATGAAAGCAACCATGCAACTAGCGAAATAAAAACCATTAATACCACCAACAGGAAAAGAAAAAACACATACAATTGTGTTCTCTAATTCTTGTGCCAAGTACTATGATTCACAGAGGGTTCCAGTACACAGCTCTGTGCTTGTATTCCATTTGTGCTGAATCCTACTCATACATATTTAATAAAAGGCTCACTGACCTCTAGAAGCAATATGACCATGTTCACTAGTGTCTGTACTCTGTACCCAATGACTGAGAAGATACTGACTATATAAAATTGTATCCCAGCTGGACAGAGACCATATTGAACATGGGTAAAATGAAAACACTTATATAAACAAATTTACAATCCTGCAAGTACAAGCTTCAGATATTGTTTATGTAGTTTTCTACACCACTGGGCACAGCTTAAACCAAGATCTATGTCCTCCCACAAACTTCTCACTTCTGGAGAAATGATGTCTTAGAATATAGTATGACAGTTTCGAACATCTATTCTGCTCCCAGAATGCAAAGATCTCTAAAATGCCCACTGTCATACCTGCAGTAAAACACAGCATAAAACAAATCTAAACATTAAAAAGCAGCAGCAAGTCAAATATATATATGCAAAAGTGAAGAAACTGAATGAAGATGAAATCCTACAAGTTTTCAAGGGACTCCAAAATTATTTTTATTCTATTTATACTCATCACCGGTTCCTTTAAATTGTATCCTATCGTAAGCCACTTGTCAGTTTTACAAGAAAGTGAGAAAGAATGAGCTGATATAATATACCTAATGCTGCCATGCTAATCTGTGCAAAGACTAAACTTTCTAATTGTCAGAAATCTGACAAACATGCTAATCCCCCCAGTTATGTGAAAACTGTTTTTTTTTTTTTCAGTTAGTGTATATAGTTGTATTGTGTCCCCTCCAAAACACAACCATTCTGATAATCTCCTTTAAGGGAAGGGTGTAAGGCCTAATGATTGGGTGTCCAGGGGACCAAACATGAGGCATCATTAGATCAAACGTTGTGAGCACTCTTGAATTAGATATTATGTGTTCAGTAGGGAGGAACAAGTCATTACAGCTATTATATTTTTAATTCATCAGCAAATAAGGTGTAGATGTAGCGTGGTGATGTTAGCTTGCTTTTTTTTTTTCTTACATACCTAGACCTCTCAAAACCTGTTTCAACATTGTTTTAAATTGTGGTTATAGAACACTGCTCATTTGTTTAGCAGAGCTTAGGCAACCGTATTAATCCAAGTAAAGTGCTGCAACAATAAAACTGAAAAGAAAAAACTGAAAAAAAATTCTATCAGGCTTTGTTCCCAATATGCATGTCATGTTTTCATTTTAAGGCAGGGGGTCTGGAACCTGTAGATTGTGGTCTGGGCTTGCTGACCCGCCATCCCAGAGCATCAGAGTGCAATGCAGAGGGACCAATTGTAAAGTTGGAGCTGTAGTAGGGCGCAAGAGCCGCAAAAGTCGATGCCTACTTTGTAGTTCTGGCTCCTGTCACATGCAAAGTGATACCAACTGCACTCCACCTCTTATCCCAGGTAGCGGTCTCCAGAGTGGTGCCAGCAGAAGGAAAGACGAGATCTTCAGGTCACTGTGAAGCAATATACTGGGCATAATAGTAAAGGGCTGCTTTCACAATGATGCACTGCGGTTGACCCACATCACGGGTGCAGTGCAGTGTGCCTGCAGCTTTCCTGAGGGTTTACTGCTTTTAGCCATAGACTTCTACCACCTCTGCCCAAACCATCACCCCCTTTAGCTGCAGTGGCCAAGAATGTACACGTCGCAGCTGGAATTATACGCCCTGTCATGGTTGGTGGGAGTAGCACCTGCCAAGCATGACCCATTTAAGTGAATGAGGCCGCTTTACAAGTGCTTTGCAACCTTATGCAGCACAGCAAAGAAGAAATTCAAGCAGGCAGCATTTTGTTGCTTTCTCACCACCTGCTTCAACCCTTTGAACCCCGCAGAAGCATGCAGCTGCAGGGTGCTTGCACAGTGACCCCATTAACTTGAATGGGTTGCAATTGACAAGCAGTAGCACCCACCAAAAGCAACATGGGGTTTTATTCCTGCTGCAGCATGTGTACACCTTTAGCTGCTGCCTTCACTAGTTAAAGAGGATAGAGAATGGGGGCGGTAAAACTGCGACTTTTACCACCTCCCAACTGTACGTGTGAACAAGCCCCAAGGGCTGCTGAATGCAACTAAGGGCTCATTCACAAGTACAATAGGCACTGCTACTCCTCTGAAAAGTGATTTGAGTGTGTTTGACAAGTGGTGAGGCCATATGTTGTTTCCTCATCACTTGATCTAAACCCATGACTGCAATGCATGCTTTCCCGACACGGTCGGTAGTACGGCCGTGTCAGAGGCAACACTGTTCCCGGTGATCTTTTACTTCTCCCATGTCGTTCCCGGTAGATCTCCACCTCTTTAATGTTGCCTAATCCTGCTTTAAAAGGATATGTATAGGGTTAATCAAGAAATGTCATACTCCTCGCTATGATGCATTATTGTTGTGATGCTGAAGCTGTCCCTCATTTGCACGAAGACAGAGAATCCAGCAATCACATGACTGCTGACCGTTCAGTTCGTCAGTTAGTCTGCTTGGAGTGGAGAGCTGTGACTGTCAGCCATTGCTCTCCACTCTGCCTCTCCAACACTCAGTGGAGCATTGGTCTGGAGAGAGAACAGGAGTCACGCACTGGGAGCTGGAGCCAGCTGTCAAATGGGAAGCTGGGTGAATCCCTACAATATTGTTGTAATATTTCTAGAGCCTTTAGCCTCTCTGACTTCAGCTGAAAACACACAATAGACAGCAGTCAGCTGACTCTGGTCAAAGGAATGCAAAAGAAAGTGAATTCCTGTGACCCACAAGAGAAGTATGGCCAAAAAAGCTTTAGCCAAACTATTTTTTAATTATTATAAGAATATACATTTAGGAAACTAATGTCACGGGAGAAATAAGACAATTCATTAAATTCTCTTTAAAACAGGGCTCGATAAATCCCAGACACCAGGTCACCAAGGAGACTGTAAATTCCATCCTCGTACCTGGGCTTTTGTCAGCCATCCGCTGTCAGGCACTAGGATGCTGCTTCACTGATCCAGGGATTTGAAGTCCCTGTGGCCGAATCTCCTATCTATACTTCTCAGCATACAGACAACAGGCATTCTAACTGCACAGCATCATCAATTGGACAACGCTGACCAATCAAAATTCATCTAGGCAATATGCAAGCAGAGCATTTTCTGTGCGGGTTGCAGCACGTTCGGAAATGCACAGATGTGCATGCATGGCAACCTGAGCGCAAAGCACGTTTGCAGAGGGTTTCTGTAAAGCATGGCAAAGCGTACATTTGGAAACGTGCAGATGTGAATGCAGCCTAATTTCTAATGGTATGCTAATCACAGTTAGCAGAAAGCCAAAGTGCACACTAAAAAGCATGCAACACTCCACAATCAAAAAGGTTCTCGAGTTACTTTTGAGCATCTGTCATGCATAAGGCAGCCCCATTCAAGTGAATGTTCTGGTAAACATATTACATTTACACTCAATGGAACAAAAAAATAATTATATAGTGGTTAGTTGTCATGAACAGTACATTTATAATACAACTTCAAATACTACTCATGCTGTAATAAAAGTAGGAAAACCGTTCAGGTTGTCGTAATACATCTACTGTACATTTAACACACTAGGGGTCTGAAGAAACCATCAGCAGTTTTGGTAGTGGCTTTTTTGGACATGGTAGGTCACTTTCTCTACAGTGTGAACATGGGAGAAGTAATCAGAATTTCAGACTAGCACAGTTATTAATTAATAGCACTCCACTGTGGATTGAAGGCCAGCTGTAGAAAGCTATAAAACAAAGGGCATAGGGCCTCCAGTAGCTTATCGGCAATTCTGGAAGCTTTATTGCCCAAGAGGGAAGAACACAATCACTAATGCAGCTTAACTCTTGCCAAGATGGACACTGACCAGGAATGAACTGCAGCTACCCCAACATCAAATAAAGAAAGAAAGCATCCATCAGAACACACTGATGCTGATACATCACTTTAATCCGTGCCAAGTCTTCTCTTATAGATCTTATAGTATGGTATGCATTACTGTTGTCACTGCCATCTTACCTTACAAGAAGGATGGATAAATTAGGCTGATCTGCAGCCATTTGTTGCCAGGCAAATACACGACAACTTTTTTTACAATATATTTTCAGTCTTAGCCGCATCATCAATAATACATTATTTTACAAAACATTTTATCGCTTAAAAAGAACACACTCACCTGTTGATGTTGCCTAGCTCCGTCCTTAACTGACTTCATTACAATACCCAACAGAGGTTTGCATATAAACTTTAAAAACAAAACAAAAAACAGAGGTGTCTGAAAATATTAAAGTAGATTTCATGATATGTATTCAATTTGTCAGAAAAAAATGTAACTTATAAAAACATACCATCATATAAAAAAAACTTTTTTGCTATATTTATTGTTAATAACTTAAAATGGAATTCTCTTGTTTAGATGTAAAGCTGCAGATACATTTTGTAAATAGAACCTGCTGATTCCTGATACTGGGCTAGCTTGGGTAGATTTGACTACAGACATGGGGTTGGAGGCAGCACAGCTCCCTTTATAAGGCTTATTCATTACCTTCTATTTGGTGAAAACAGTTACTAGAGCCAGCAATTGCTCATCAAGAGGATCTACCAGCTACACAATGAGGAGTGGACAGACAGAGTAGTATGAGAGGACGTCAGTAGGTCCAAATAGACAGCGATGCAGTGGACTGCATAACGTCTGCCTAATTTTATCGTACTTGCATGTTAGACATACCGTGCCGTTCCTTCAGAGCCCTGTGCCGCAAACAGTGACTCCTGCGAGCATGCGCAGGAGTGACGTCATCTCGGCCATTTATACCGCCAAGCCCGTGAACCTGGAAGGAAGACCAGGTGAAGATGGAAACACCTACAGTGATAACAGCGTTCTGCTGAAGTGCTTCGTTTTCAGGTAAGTCTGTCATAACATGCTAGTATGTGTGCACATTAGCACATTATGACTTAAAACTGCTCAGGGCCCTTTTTCTTTTTTGCTGCACTTTACTATCGCTTTAAGAGAGGACAATAACTGCAGCTGGTACATGAAGACATAAAAAAAAAAAAAAAAAAATGAGGTTAGCATTAAAGAATGCACATTCTTTGCAATACATATTTAACCTTGGTGCCTGTTTCTAAATGTTCTGAAAGAATTTTTATGCTGGTCTGTTATCAGACAATGAATGGTATTACTTACAGGAAACCGATTGAACAGATCCAAAAACATTGCTGCAGTTAGAGGACTGTTTCTCTTGGTCATAAATCCTTTCAGCGATTCTTGGTAGAGTTCTGTGATTCGCTGAAGATCCAGACAACCCATACAAACCACCTATGAAAATAAAAGGACAAGAATTAAAGTGAACCTTTCACTACACAAAAGAAAAAATGAAGGTAGCAACAGAATGTAAACTTGAATTATTTAAAGTAGCTATAGTTGTAGTGTAGAGAGTGAAGAGAGCGCAGTTGTGCCCACTGCATGCTTGATACCTCCTTGCATTGCAAAAAAAAAAAAGTAAACCTTCAATTCTTACTTAATGAGTGCCAACTCCAATCTTCCCTCTCCTCCTGAGTGAAGGCCATAACTCAGCCCTTTGCTATACTACATGGCACACAAGAAACTAGGAAAGTGGCATATTTAACGGATTCCTGCCCAGGCCATTGAAAAATGACAGCTGGGAGGGACCCTATTGCTCTGGGAGGACATCATATGACGGCCGGGAGGAACCCTATAGCTCTGGGAGGACATCATATGACGTCCTCCACAGTGCAGGCCGCAATTCAACGCAATCTGTCATCTACTGTGTCCACTGGCCCACTGCCAGTACCATGTGATCGCTGTGACTAATCACAGCAGATCAAATGACAATTATAAACGAATGGCTGATTCATAGCATTAATTGTGTACAATTGTGTTGCTAGCTGTGATTGGTCACAGTGATTGCATGATATAGACAGGGCCAATCACATCCCAACTGTACCATAAAATTAGCTGTGGCCAATCACAGCTAATCACAACACACACTGAATTAATCTATTTCATTTAGTAAAAATACTTGCTTATAGCAAAGAAATTCACTGCTGCAAGCAATCAATGTATAACTGCTGATGAGAAAAGGTATTTAGCAGTTTATATTTACTAAAATTAGTTCCATGTTGTGTGTACTGTGGGAAACCAGATATAGTGAATGCAGGGTCCTGGGTTTAGTAACACTAAGTTAAAGGATACACTATCAAACCTAATACTCCAATTCTCACATTTAAGCTTTACATACTTTTGATGATGGGTCTTTGCTTTTACTTTTCTCATCTTCCTCCGCTGTCTGACCAGTCCATTTCAACACTTTAAATAGGTAAAGTGATGCACTGAAAGAAGGTAAAAAACAGTACAAAAACAATAAAAGGACAATAGCACACTACATAGATATCAGCACAAGATCCAGAAAATGGTTTTCATAATTCAATCACACATCAGCATTAGTTGGCAAGTGTCATTAAAGGAAAGCTATAATTGTTTGCGTCTGTTTTAACGTGAAGTTTACATGTTTTGAACTTTTAACGATCGCCAAACAAATAGGTGCAGTTGCAGGAAGTGTAGGCCATAACGTCCACCTGCCACACATATGCATCTGTGGTTGCTGTGCCGAGAATGCGCCTGCTGCACATACCCAGCATACTGAGTTGTCACAGACAGCTTCTAGTCTCTCTCAGCTTACAGGGTCTTACATGGCTGCATTAGTAATCTTTTGCACACTTTTCTTCGTTTCTCTTTAATCTGGTAATCCTGCCATTAACACACTTTTTATCCTAGGGTGACAACCATACTGAGCAGCATTATCATCCTAGGAGAGAAAGTTTGTTAAGGCAACAGAAAACCTCCCTCTCTCCTCTGTAACAGGTGAAAGTGTTTTGCCATCTACAGAAACAGCTGTAAACAATGCTAAAATTATATGTTTGACAAATACCAAAAAAATTGCTAAACGCCACCAGAGAATAGCAATGTTCTCTTATCTCAGTTCATGCAAACCAAGCCCTTTTTAAAGCGTTTTTTTTTTAAAGGTAAATTTTTATTGATTTTATAAAAAAAAAATTTCTCTCTTTACAAACTTAAGTACAAGAAAAAAAAAAAAAAAAAAAAAAGTACACAGTGTTCCAAACTTAACAAAAACAAGGAAACAAAGTATAAGGCCCCTTTAACACTGGGGAGACCCGCTTGTTCAGTGAGGGATCTGCCCGCTGATCCCCACTGAGCAGGTGGATGACAGGTCCATGTCCGCTCTGTTTGTGCGGAGCAGAAATGGACACAACCCACTGTGCTCTACGGGCTGCCGGATGGAAACTCTTTTAGCTGCTATAACGTTCATGTAAACCAATATACACTTATTGGGATTTTTTTCCACCGAAGACATGTAGCAGAATACATTTTGGCCTAAATTTATGAAGAACTTTTTTTTATTGGATATGTTGTATAGCAAAAATAAATAACACAAAAATTGTTTTTTTTTTGTGTATAGCCCAAAAAATAAAAAAGAAGGTGATCAAATACCGCCAAAAGAAAGCTCTATATGTGGGAAAAAAAAATTACATAAATGTATGTACAGTGCTGCATGACTGTGCAATCGACAGTTAACCACTTGCCCTCCAGAGGATTTATCCCCCTTCCTGACCAGGCCATTTTTGCGATACGGCGCTGCGTTACTTTGACAATTGCGCGGTCATGCAATGCTGCACCCAATAAAATGTATGTTCTCTCCCCCCCACACAAATAGAGCTACCTTTTGGTGGTATTTGATCGCATCTGAGTTTTTTTTTTTTGCGTTATAAACAAAACAAAAAAAGTGTTTTGAAATAAATACATTTGACTTTTTGCTATAAAATATTCCAGTAAAAAAATTTTACATTTAAAATTTAGGTTAAAATGTATTCTGCTACATGTCTTTGCTAAAACAAAAGAATCCCAATATGCGTAATTTAATTGGTTTACATGAAAGTTATAGCATCTACAAATGGTGATATATATATACACTGGATTTTTTTTTTTATACTGGTAATAGCGACTTATAGCAGGACTGCGGCGGTCATTCTGACACGGGGGGGGGGGGGGGGGGGGGGGGGGGGGGGGGGGGGGGGGGGGGTGGGGGGGGGGGGGGGTTTTGGGTGTTGGGTTGGGGGGGGGGGGGGGGGGGAGGGGGGGTGCCACGGGCATCCCCAGTGACACTAAATACTGTGACCAGTGCTAATAAAAACTGATGGCACCAGGCAGGAAGGGGTTAACATCTGGGGTGATCAAAGGGAACTGTGTGTGTTTTACATTGTGTGCTGTTGTACATGGGAGAGATGCTGCTTTGTACCTCTCTGCTGTACAGAGATAGACAAAGCAGCATCTCCTTGCTGACCTTGGTATTTCCTTTATACATTTTATGATTGTCTCCACGTGAATTATTTTATATATGCAATAAATTACTACACTTTCTGGATCCTGTGGTGAGCTGTTTTCTCCAGGACAAAGGCTTCCTTTTCGTCCAAAACCCTAGATGACAGTCCATCCTAACCTCTTGGCTGCCCCCTACCTCAAGATGTGTTATGCTTGAAATGCCTGTTACCAGTTTCATTCTGGTGAGTGTACATCTATTAGAGGTGGCGGATTCTCCTGCATGATTGCTATCACGTTCACATGTAGCACTTTAGTTCACTGCACCTTATTATTTAACGGACATTTATGTGGATCACACCCTATCACGGACATTGTTAGGTTTATTATCCGTATAATTCTGATATTAATTTTTTATTGATATTACATATATTATGCAACACTACAGACATAATCACATTACCTACGCATTTATGAGGCACTTTATATTTATTGAAGTCTATGCTGTTGACGGTTTTTGCACTCTTATATGATGCACTTTGCTGTTCCACATTACCCATTCAGTTTTTGATGCACTGATTGTTCCATTTTATCATGTGATTTATGGAAGATTTACTACACTCTCATACGTTACACTTTATTGTTCCGTTTTAGCAGATATTGATATATCTTTTGTGTGATGCACTTTATTGTTCCACTTTTAGTATCTTTAACGCTGCACTTGTTTACATATAGTGCTTTATATTGCTCTGCTATGCAGAGCAATACAAAAGCAGCATACTGGTGCCAACGGGAGAGATCTGTATTGTTGACATACAGACCTCACCCGTCAAGTGTTCCTCGGTGATCGCCGGATGCCAGCAGGGAATCTCTGGCAGGGACCCGGTGAGCGACAGCTGTAGGGTGGAATGCAAAATCACGTATATATACACACGTAATTTTGCGCATCCCTGCAGCAGTGCTTCTGCTATACAGCGGTAGGGAAGTGGTTAAAGTTACGCAGCGAAATATCGCAAAAAATGGCCTGGTCATTATTGGGGGGGGGGGGGGGGGGGGGGGGGAGTAAACGTTACGGAAGGCAAGTGGCTAAGTGAAGTTTTGCTTTGAAGTAAAGATGTACTGCAACTGTCTGGGGTTGTACCTGTTCTCAAATCGGTCATTGTGCTCAGAGCAATGTGATTACAGTGGCGGCTCTTGAGGTGGACCAGAAGTCTTGCAACATGATGTTACCTGCTCACAAGATATCTGGTTGGATGGAGGCTTTTTTTGTTTTTTTTGCACTTGTCAGACAGATAAAATATATCATCAAAAGCATTTTAATCTAACAGACCAAATATGAGAAATGTATTGTTAGTTTATACACACTAAATTTTGTAAACAGGATTTTTTCTTATTCCTGAACATAATTAAAAAACATGAATATTACAACCATTTAATATTTCCTTTAAACAGCAGTACATTTTAAAACATTTTACCTACCTGCAACCAACAAGCAAAAAACTTCAGAAACAAAAAGTAAAACATTACACTCTGGTCGATTTTCGATCGGTCACACACACCTGAACCTGTTTAAATAATTTGTTGCAAGACTAAGGGGTACTTTACATCACTAAGAAAATGCCACCATTGGAAAAAAAATTCACATTCTACTTTGGAATTCCATTTATACTGACAGTTCCAGATTTCTATAAAAATTACCAGCTCTTTTCAGTGGCTTGAATGAAAAATCATTGCCTGCCTGATATATTGCTGACAGCAGAGCACAGGACTGAAGACAATACCCAAGCATATTTGACTCACCTGAAACAGTATAGAGCCACAGAGGAGTCACTTTGTTTGGCTGCTCTCTTCACTAGTCTCTCCATCATATCATGAAGATCATCTTTTAGCTCTGACACGTCTTTGCAGTAATGCTTATTTTTACATAAATCATTCCTTTAAAATAGTTATAAACACAAGACAATGACATAACCATTATTCTCTAAAACAGACAGAAGGCAATAAGATAAAAGGTATGAATAGAAGTGGATGAAATCAGTGGATCAAAAAACAACAACTTGAATTGCAGTAACACCAGAAACGTATTCAAAATACAACTACATCCTCTATTTAAAATAAATACAGCAGATCAATTTCAAAAGGAACACTTCAAGAAACAAAATACAGGGAATTGCTGTTATAGATGGGACAATCATCGTTATCCTTTCTGCACCAACTTGCAAGTCATTTACCTAGAACGAGCATGTACACATCAGGTCCTGAAAAAACATGACGATCGGCACATGCATACAGCAGTCAGTGACTCAGTAAATGGTAAAGAAAGGAAATCTATGACAGCCCTTCAAAATGTAGGGCCGCAGATTCAAGCCACCTAGAAGGGTCTATATACCGGCAGTGGTAAGGGAGCACAAAGTGAAGACACAATCCACTGAAAATGTAATTATAGAAGCTCTGCTAAGTTCAAGGTGCAGGGAAGAGCTAGCTGTGCTGTCTAGCAGGGATGAATGTATCACAAGACTGGCAGAACAGAATGACAATCCTATGGCAGATAAAAGTTTACACAAATGTATGTCATCTGTAGTATCAGTACAGTCTCAGCTTTTATTTGTATGTACTGCATATGATACAATAGGGTCAAACTATGTAAAACACATTAACCTAGCAGTATGTTTTTGTATTATAAAAGGAAGCCAGAGAACTTGAAGGGCTCCTACAACAATTCAGGGGAAACACTACAAAATCCATATAGATGCTATTTCTGGAGGGAAATGAACTTTGAAATATAACCCATGGCTATGCACTTCATTCTGTTTGGCATTGTGCCAGTTATATTTTGCCAATACATTACACGATCTACAGTTTGTTCTTATAATGCTGAAAAGTAAACTATAGGCTCGATTTTACAAAAAGGTTTATTTGATAATCTACTTTTAAGTTTTCAAAAAAATTAACATAGAAAAAATATAAAAAAATTCTACAAAATACAGAGAAAGTAAACAATTGTATGACATCCCCCCCCCCCCCCCTTTAAACTCATCAGGATCAGGCAGCACATTGTAATCTCACAGAACAAACATCAAGCCCCCCAAGAGCAGGACAAGTTTCCCAGCATTTAACCAGGCCCTGTGATGTAGCCTGCTGAACAGCCTCATACACAGTTGAATGAACCTAAGTTAAGGACTCGCTTCTCAGGGGAGATTACATACTCGCCCCCAAGTTAAAAAGGGCTAAATGAATTTGAGCACAGCACGTATTTTGCAATTGAACAGAGCAGAATAGATATCTATTGGGAAGGAAAAAAAAAAAAAAAACTTACTTTCAAGAAGAAGGAAGGAAATTTACCGTCTAGAAACAAGTCTCCTAGAACCATAATCCTTGATGCCAAAATAATTGGCTCCACAAGCTGAAAGATGTTGGAGATTGGGTTGTTCCAGAGGGGGTATGTGGTGACCATTTGTGAGTGTTACACAGGGAAGAACCCCAAGTCTGGACCATGCTCTAATAGTGGACTTCATGGTTCAGCTAAGAGCATATTAGGCTTTACAGCCTCTACAGAGAGGAAAGAAGGGCTTCATACGAACCTAGAATTGCCACTCCCACCAATTATGTATGTGAATGAGTGAGTTGTCAACCCAAACACATACTGAAAAAAAATTGGTAGTCCCTGGGGTTGTCTTAGGATGGCTAAAATGAGATGGTGTCCTATTATACTGTAGAAAGGAGGACATTATTTGTGTACATCTAAATCAAAAGCAAACCATATTCGAAAATTTCACATTTATTTTTTGGGGAAGTATAAAAACATCCCTTTATACTCACATAAATATGTCTGCTGTTTTTCGAAGAAAGTCCTGTTCCTGTTGGTTGGATTCTGAGCTCATACTCCGCTCTATTACAGAAAGCAAAGGCTCTATAACATTAAACACAAGTGGACTGCTAGACTGCTTCTTCATAAACACTTCAATCAGGTCCAGTACCTTCAAAAAATTACAATAATGCTATTATCAACAAACAAGAGACACAAAAAGTAACTATTACAAACCACAAAGCTCAGATTTCCACATCATTAGGTTTTTATCTTAAAAAGGCATATTCCACTTTTTGTAAAACATTGATAAACATACCTATATTGAAAAAAAAAAAAAAGAAAGAAAAATGTATGAATCTTTTGCAATAAAGCCTGCAAAGCAACTGCAATACACAGGTTTCCTGCAGACTATTCCATCTGCCCGAGGTTCACATGGAAGAACTGCCTGCTGCAGTGAACAGGCCATTAAGTGCTATCAAGCTTTGCTGCAATTGGATGGAAAAGCTGCAATTTCACAGCTTTCTGCTACACTGTATGCAAAAACAATAAACAGTTGTGTTTTTCCAAATGTAGTTTAGAATGATTGTACCGTCAGATATTTTTTTGTTTGCATTGACAGGTATTTTTTTCAAGAAAATCTTTTAGGGACAGTACCCAACTTTGTTGTTGCACAGATACAACTACAATCACCCTAAACTGAATTTGAAAAGCCTCACACGCTATTTTGTATCTAAAGTAGTAGAAATCTAACAAAAAAATGGACATTTGGTGGTGATGTCATTCTCGCCTAGATCCCACAGAACAAGATCCCACAGAAATATTAATTAAACTCCATCAATAAAACATCTTGAATAACAAAGGGGATTTTATGCCAAGTGATAGGAGAGGGTTCACTTTTATATCACTGATGTTCTACCTCACAGTTGAAAATAGTGGATAACATGATAAAGCCAAGAATCATTAGTTTCCTTCAAAGGAACTCCTTTAATACCTTGGTCTTGAAATCCCTCCTTAAAGTTTTCTCCTGACGGATTTTGGCCTTCTCATCCTTTTTTGCCTGAATGCGTTTCTTCTGCTCAGCAAATAAAGCAGAGAGATTTTCATCGAGAGCCATCATGGTTTCATCATCCAGCTCGTCATCACTGTCTTCGCCTTCCTATATCAAAAATAAGAACTTATTATTTGTCACGAACGGTGTTCATTGTTTTAACCTCACCATCCACTGTTAGCTCACCATAGCTTTGCCTGCATGCAGAACATCCATTAGTTGTTTTCGAAAAACCTCATTCACGTCTCCTTCAGCTAACTCCTCTTCATTTTCACTTTCTTTATTGTCATCTTCTTGATCATCCTCCATGGCACTGTCCTCGTCAGAACTGATCTCTTCTTCCTTATGGCCAACAAACAGTGGGCATTACGATATCTGTTGACTTTTCTTTTACTTATTTTTGTTACTGAAAATGGTCCACATTTTCAAAAAGGCAGAGAAGAATGATATGAGGAATATTTCAAAACAAAGCTGTCACTGACGAACAGCACGCATTTATAGATGACACAAAGCTAAAGCACAAAAACTGTTAAATAGTCTGTATCCTGACTAGGTGATAAAAGAAAATCCAACTTGGTTGCAACTTGCATAAAGCTGTATTTCCAGCCAATTCACTTTGGATACTGGATTGTTCACACCTACATCTTTACGTGACAATTCCCCCTATAACTTTTATTAGAGGCTTAGAATAGGTCCCCTACATGTTCCACTGAAGCTGCTGTTGCTGTCAATATACTGGATTTCTTCAGATATACTGAAAAAGTTAAACATGGAGCCACTGACCAGACACTAGCACGTTTCAAGTGAGGTCAGAACCTACCTGTATTTTTCTCAAAGTGGAATTCAAGACTTTATGCTTAAAATGACATCCATTCCACTCTAACACCTATACTATTCCTTAGAAGGAATATGCTGACCCATTTTCAGGGCGCTCCGGTTCAGCCACATGATCGGCTCAACATCAGCAGCTTCAGGGGTGAGGAGGGACAGTTGACAACTGATAATATATAATAAACCTTTTGGGTAACATCACTGCCCAGGCATTTCAGCCTGTTTTGGCAATCTCTCCTCTCCCTTAAGCCAGCCACTGGAAAGACTACATGACCAGACCAGAGTGCCCTTAGATTAGTTAATTATATTTTTCCTTGATCAGGGTAGTTAGAGTAGGAGGTAAAAAGGGGGTGGGAACAGTTTTAGGCTCAGTTCCCAACTCCCAATTTCACAAATGCCAGCATTTCCACTTTCAAGAGGTTATAATGGGATAATGCCCGCAGCTGCAGGCATCATCCCGGTACAGTTTTTTTTTTTTTTTGTGCTGACGCTCGGCTCTCTTGTAAAAACAATCTCAGTGGCTAACTAGCCACTGGATCGCTTTTACAAGCATTGGGAGGGAACGTCCCCCTCTCCTGCTGCCTTCTGCAGTTTTTTCAAGGTGTCCTATCCCACTGGGACACTCGAGCCGGTGCTTCCTTGTGACAGCAATAAAAGTGATCAAAAAAATTTCAAGTGACAGTGTATAAATAAAAATTAAATAATTAAAAAAATATTAAATGCACCCCTGCCCACCTGTGCGAAAAGGTGAATGCAAGAATTGGTCCCATGCAAGCAAACAGCAATTGTCCCACACATGAGGCATCAACGCAAACGTCAGATCATGGGCAGCAATTCTAGCACAGACCTCCTGTATAACAAAGTGGCAACCTGTAAAGGCTTTTAAAGCGTCGCCTATGATTAGTAAAATTCACATCTTTTGTTGCCGTTTCACAGGCATGCACAATTTAAAAGCATGACATGTTTGGTATTTATTTAATCAGCATAAAATCATCTTATATATTTTACCAAAAAAATGCGTTTGAAGAATCACTGCACAAATACCGTGACAGATAAAATTGCAACACCCACCAACTTATTCTATAGGCCCTCTGCTTTAAAAAAGAAAAATATATGTTTGGGGGTTCTAAGAAATTTTCTATCAAAAAATACAGATTGTTACATGTAAACAAAAAGTGCCTGAAAAGGCTTAGTCTTCAAATGAATATACTGTACATTCTAAATATGCTAATTGCTTGCACTGGCACAAGATGTGCTGCCATCTGATGGAAACAATTGAAACAACATTTTCACAGCTTTCTGCTACACTGGATGCGCAAGAAACATTTGTGTGTGTGTTTTCAAATGTAGCTGAAGATGATTGTACTGTATGAGAATCTTTTTTTAATTAGCATTAACAGTTATATTTTTCGAAAATATCTTTTGAAGGTCTGCCGTAAGTTTCAGGGACAGTACGCAACTGTGTTGTTGCAAGTGCACTGATACAACTACAATCACCCTAAACTACATTTGACAACATACACAAAGCGGTTTATTTTTTATCCAAAGTAGCAGAAACCTAACTGAAAATGGACATTAATAAAAGAGGTGGGAGCAATTTTACGCTTAGTTCGTTAAAGCCTGGAATTCCACTTTAAAGTGGAGCTCCACCTAAAAGGGGAAGTTCCGCTTTAAGCCTTTGTTCCACGCTCCACATTAAGGATTTTCACCTTTGGGGAGCGGGTACCCGGATTTGACAGGTACCAGCTCCCGCTGCGATCACCTAAGACGATCAGAAGCAGAAGCTGTCCTCCCTCCCGTAGTCTTCTGGGACACGTAACAGGTCCCAGAAGACTACGGGGCCATTCACAAAGCACAGCGCTTCTCGCGCATGTGCAGTAGGCACCCGGCTGTGAAGCCGCAAGCAGTCACAGCCGGGTGCCCACATGAACATTCCTGCTCCAGGGAGACAAGATGGCTGGTGAAACCAGCGGAGGTGAGGACACCGCTGGACCGAGGGTCAGGTAAGTGGCTGTATTTTAAATGTCAGCAGCTACAGTTTTTGAAGCTGCTGACTTTTTTTTTCCCAGGTGGAACTTCACTTTAAGTATCTAACACAGCATTGAAGCCAGTCAAGATGACAGCAAGCAACCCTTGACTAAGGTCTTGGAAGGGCAATGGACTGCATTGACAGGTTTTTGCGCACCAGAAGTTCAGCTTTAACTATAGTTTTGGGTGAATGTTTTCTGCAACACAACATGCCCTATAAAACAGGCCAGGTTTCAGATTAGTTGACTAGCAAATATTAAAAAAAAACAGAACACAAAAAGGTATCACTTCTGGGAACAATCATCTGTTAGAAGCATCTGCAAGTTCCATTTTTTCTTCGAAATCATTAAAGATTTTTTTTTTTTCACTGTTCTGTGTCCTGTGTTGCTAGGTACTTCCTAACCTTAACTATGAGGTCTGATCAACACCCTCTCCCCTCCTGCCTTGGGCGATCCAACAACTAGGAAGGAACCTGACAATGCATAATGGCACCTTTGTGTAGCCTCTAAAAATTTCCTATAACAAGTAGCCTCTGAGCGATTTCCTATAATAAGTAGCCTCTGAGCAATTTCCTATAACAAGTAACAGGAAGACTCTTCATTCCTCTTACAGTTGCTCGTCTGTTGAAAGTGCTCAGAGCTGCCACTGCTGCGTCCATCTCTTCCTAGATGTTGTGAGATTGATCATAGCAGGAGGGGAGGGGTTCAGAACAGCCGTCAATCTTAGGGTTAGGAAGCAACACTGAATAAAAGTACTATATGTTCATTTTCCCCATATGCAGCAAAACAGTAAAAAAAAATTAAAATAAATTATATATAATTTATTAATATTACACAGTATCTCACAGAAGTGAGTACACCCCTCAACTTTTTTTGTAAATATTTTATTATATCTTTTCATGTGACAACACTGAAGAAAAGACACGTTGCTACAATGTAAAGTAGTGAGTGTACAGCTTGTATAACAATGTAAATTTGCTGTCCCTTCAAAATAACGCAACACACAGCCATTAATGTCTAAACCGCAGGCAACAAAAGTGAGTACACCCCTAAGTGAAAATATCCAAACTGGGCCCAAAGTATTGATCTTTTGTGAGGCCACCATTATTTTCCAGCACTGCCTTAACCCTCTTGGGCATGAACTTCACCAGAGCTTCACAGGTTGCCACTGGAGTCCTCTTCCACTCCTCCATGATGACATCACGGAGCTGGTGGATGTTAAGAAACCTTGCACTCCTCCACCTTCTGTTTGAGGATGCCCCACAGACGCTCAATGGGGTTTAGGTCTGGAGACATGCTTGTCAGTCCATCATCACCTTTACCCTCAGCTTCTTTAACAAGGCAGTGGTCATCTTGGAGGTGTGTTTGGGGTCGTTATGTTGGAATACTGCCCTGTGGCCCAGTCTCCAAAGGGAGGGAATCATGCTCTGCTTCAGTATGTCACAGTATATGTTGTCATTCATGGTTCCCTCAATGAACTGTAGCTCCCCAGTGCCGGCAGCATTCATGCAGCCCCAGATCATGACACTCCCACCACCATGCTTGACTGTAGGCAAGACAGACTTGTCTTTGTACTCCTCACCTGGCTGCTTGACACCATCTGAACCAAGTTTATCTTGGTCTCATTAGACCACAGGACATGGTTCCAGTAATCCATGTCCTTAGTCTGTTTGTCTTCAGCAAACTGTTTGCGGGCTTTCTTGTGCATCATCTTTAGAAGAGGCTTCCTTCTGGGATGACAGCCATGCAGACCAATTTGATGCAGTGTGCGGCGTATGGTCTGAGCGCTGACAAGCTGAACCCCCCCCCCCCCCCCCCCCCCAACCTCTGAAGCAATGCTGGCAACAGTCATATGTCTATTTCCCAAAGACAACCTCTGGATATGACGCTGCGCATGTGCATTCAACTTCTTTGTTTGACCATGGCGAGGCCTGTTCTGAGTGGAACCTGTCCTGTTAAACCTCTATATGGTCTTGGCCTCCGTGCTGCAGCTCAGTTTCAGGGTCTTGGCAGTCTTCTTATAGCCTAGCCCTAGGCCATCTTTATGTAGAGCAACAATTCTTTTTTTCAGATCCTCAGAGAGTTCTTTGGTATGAGGTGCCATGTTGAATGTCCAGTGACCAGTATGAGAGAGTGAGAGTGATAACACCAAATTTAACACACCTGCTCCCCATTCACACCTGACACCTTGTAACACTAACGAGTCACATGACACCAGGGAGAGAAAATGGCTAATTGGGCCCAATTTAGACAATTTCACTTAGGGGTGTACTAACTTTTGTTGCCAGAGGTTTAGACATTATTGGCTGTGTGTTGAGTTATTTTGAGGGGACAGCAAATTTACAGTTATACAAGCTGTACACTCACTACTTTACATGGTAGCAAAATGTAATTTCTTCAGTATCGTCACATGAAAAGATATACAAAATATTTACAAAAATATGAGGGGGTGCACTCACTTTTGTGAGATATATATAGATATATATATATATATATATCTATATCTATATATATCTCTCTCTATATATATTATCTATATATCTCTCTATATATATACAAACACACACTATTTAAAATGGCTATGTAATACCACATCTTCTCATATATGGGTCAGCTGCCCCACTGAAAACAATGCACTCCCTAACTGGATGACATCTTATCTCAACAGCTAATTAACAGGAAGAAAATTATAGTGACATTCCTAGCCCTCTATAGTAGCTAATATCCCAAGTCTCTATAGTTAAAACAATAAATCAAATATGGAACACCAAGTCTGTAACCTACTTTCCAGTGAAGACTGCACAAAACTAAAATATATGATCTTAAATAATAAAAAAAAACTTTTTCCTATAATCTGCAACTAGCATAGGTGGAAACACAAAGGTGACAGATATGATCAATACTGTAATACCAATAACAGTTTAACCACTTGCCCTCCAGAGGATTTACCCCCCTTCCTGACCAGACCATTCCTTGTGATACTAACAACTGCGTGGTTGTGCAATGCTGCACCCATATGAAATTTATGTCCTTTTTTCCCCCCCCCACAAATAGAGCTTTCTTTCGGTGGTATTTGATCACCTGTGAGTTTTTTATATTTTTGCGCTAGAAACAAAGAAAACAATTTTGATAAAAAAAAAAAATCCCAGTACGTGTAAATTAATTGGTTTATGAAAGTTATAGCAAATTTTTATGTTTTTATACTAGTAATGGCAGGCGATCAGCGACTTATAGCAGGACTGCGGCGGGCATTCTGACACTGGGTTGGAACTAAATAACTGCCACGGATATCCCCTCTAACACTAATACAGTGATCAGTGCTAATAAAAAGCACTGACACTGTACTACTGACACTTGGCAGGAAGGGGTTAACAACAGAGGGAAGAGAGCTGTGTTTACACAGTGGTCTCTCCCCTATCAGTTTTACACGGTGATTGCCAGCTGCCAGCCACCAGCAGGGACTCAGTGATTAACCTCCCTAGCGGTATTCCCGAGTGTAGCTCGGGGTTAATTATTAGTGCCAAAAGCGGTAACCCCAAGCTACACTCAGGATTACCCTGCAGCGTTGTTCTGGGATTCCCTCGATCACTTACCTTGTCCTGCGCTCCCGCGATGTGTCCCCTGCAACGTCCCCAGCCATCTCCTCCGACTGATGCCGGCATCCGTCTTCCGGTTCATGCGAGCATTGGGACGTACGGGGGTCGGAACCGGCGGGAAATTTAAAAAAGTAGCATTCACTAATACACTAAAATCACATAGTAAAACATTACTGTTTCAAAGCATTTCAGATACATTTTGTCCCTAGTGCTTTGTCCTGTGCCCTGCCTGCATTTTTACTGTTCTTTCTGCCTGGAAACTGAGAAAAGTCCATGGTATTCAAAAAGTGTCCCTTTAAGTCAAAAGCAGTTTTAGACCAGCTAGAATACAGAGAGAGTAAATCAAAACCACTTGCAGAATTGAGTGATGATTTGTGCGGAAATTCATCATCAGACCCTTAAAACGATTTTGCGACTAAGCTCAGTGATGTGCAAACTTGGTGCTATATTTCAAATTTCAGTGTTTTGGTTTGATTATATTATTGACTTAAATGTATTTTATTTTTTTATGATTATTTACTACATTATAATTTATGATTTCGTGTTTCAAATTTAATCATACCCGGGATGATTACTAGACTCTTGTTCAGACATATTTCAGTGAGTTATTCCTAAAAATGACAGGCCTACAATAAAAAACGACATATTTCCATGCAAAAAAATGCACCGCGTTCAGCACAGAAATATTGACATAATCATACCGCTAGGGAGGTTAACATCCCTAGCTGCCAATAGCGGCGCGGGTAGGGCAACGCATACGCCCCCAACCCGGAATTTCAAATCACGTATATATACACACACACACATGCTTTTGTGCAGCCCTGCCGCCTTGTAGCAGTACTTCTACTATAGGGCAGTGGGCAAATGTTTAATAGAAATAGACATTTTAATAGGATTTGAAAAGTCACCTCGTCACCAGAAGCCTGCATTTTCTGACCCTTTTCATCTGTAACAACAACTGCACTTTCCTCATTCTGCTCCTCTTCAGGGTCAAAAACCTGCAAGAAAGTTTGCACCAGCTCATTAGGATTAACAGAAATAGAATTCTTTATAATAAAATGCTTCAATTCATAAACATACATTTAGGATCAGCTGTAAGGCATTCTTGGTGATGAATGGGCAAATCATCTTGAACACATTTCTTGCCACCATACGGAAAAGCTTGCTGGGTTGAGAGAAAAGTGACAGAAGAATTTCCACCATCACTTCTACCCACTCTGGTTCTTGTGAATCTATTAATAAAAAAAAAAAAAAATGCAAAAAAGTGTTTGAAGAACAGACATTGTTTCTCGTCTCTATAAAAGGTCTATATCAGCTTTAGAGCTATGCTTATGTACCACAATGAATATTGCAATGAATGTGGCAATATATCTAACAAATGCATTCTTAATCACACCACTATCATTTTAGGATCCATTAAGAATGTGCCTCACCAAATTAAATATTTTTTTTTGGTCTGCGACAGTAGGAATATTGGTCATTAAAAAAAAAAATCCCACGGTACGTATCCTAAAATGATAGTGGTGTGATTGAGAATGCATTTGTTAGATATATTGTCACATTCATTGCAATATTCATTGAGGTACATATATTACAAATATAACAGTGTGGTTACAGTTTTGTACAATACACATCAACCATACAATAAAAATAGGTAAAGTGAAGATAATTAAAACACATGCACAAATGTACAATTAATTGTAGACACCACAAAACGTCAAAACAGCGTTTTGTAAACTTGTGCCATGGTGACCCAAGTACAGTCAGGTCACAATTAACCATTTTTTGTAATTACTACTACCACGGTGGTATTTTAGGTCTTCTGTGCGGTAACTTTTGATTGGAAAAAGTGACAACAGGAAAGAACATGATTCATATAATATGTAATAATAATAACGGTAAAATGTTTAAAATTCAGCAAGACTCCCTAGCTTTAAACCATCAAATCATTGGCGTAACTCTTTAGAGAACATGCAAATAAATACATTTCAATAAAATGGTTTGAAAACACCATCTTTAGGGCTCATGCACACTGCTGTTCATAAACTGATATTTTTGTGTCTTTTGGTGTTTTAGTCCCCCGAACAAATCTCCATCTGTCCATGCACATATAGAATTTTTGAGGTTTATTAGGAGCATACAAATTTAGAGGCACTTCAAGCTCCTTTTCTGGAACACACAAAATTTGGTTTTTATTCATTTGGTTTTTATTCATTTCAAAGGCCAGAATAAATTTAAATGAAATAAAAGCCCAAAACGACCAAACGCTGCTAACTTGCCTAAACTGGATTGAAAAAAAGGCAGCTTAGTTGAGTTTAACGCTGATCTTCTCCTGTCAGAAGAAACAGCATTTGCAGTAAACCAGTGTGCATGAGGCCTAAATGTTGGTCACTCTTGGAGTAAAGAGAGGACCTTACAAGTAGCTGCAGGACAGGTGAAAAAGCCCACTACTTGGGTTGTCCAACAGTCATGTTTGAATCCTGAAGTTGCAAACCCGAGAATAACTTTTAGCTCCTGAGCTACAGAATCACCAAGCCTGGGGGCTACTTCTAAAAAAAATTGACACCCTGCTGCATATGATTGACTTTTAGATGGGCTGAGCACAGGTGGCAGTTCCTTTGCGTGTAACTGTAGAAAACTAGAAAAGGTCCTAGAAAGGGTCGAAAAGGTTATACAATTGTTGGAAGACACTGAAGTTTTCTCCAAAGACTTGGCAGTTTTTAAAGCGGGCAAAACTCATTTATAAACAAGGCAGAAAACATAGAAACACAGAAAAGTGAAAGCAGAAAAAAAAAAAAAAAAAAAAAGAAGACCAAGTGGTCCATCGAGTCTGCCCTTTTTTTTTTTTTCTCTTTTCTATTTTTGGGATAGATCTATGTTTGTAACAAGCATGTTTTCATCCATTTACGGTTAACTGACTCACTACCTCTGCTGGAAGTCTATTCCAAGCATTGACTACTCTCTCAGTAAAATAATACTTTCTAAGATTAGTTTTGAACTTTCCTTCTGCTAGTTTGAGGTGATGCCGCTGTGTTCTTCATCTTGGCTTCATATTGAAAATACTGCCCTGAAATTTATTCACCACCTTGTTTTTTTCTAAACATGTCTTCCCTTACCCAATTTCCCTCCAAACTGTACATATTAAGTTCCTGAAGTCTCTCCCGATTTGTTTTAACCCTCAGACCCTTCATTTTTGTTGTCAGTTTCTGCATTTGTTCTTGAGTGGGTTTGCGACCTGCATCTGCACGGAAGCCCATTCATTTGAATTTGACTGCTATGCCTGCGTTTCCTGCAAAAAAAAAAAAGTGCCTGCACCATTTTAAAAATGCAGTCGCAGGGAAATCATATGGTGCTTTTGCACCATGTGATTTTCCTGCTGTTCCTACACCCGCAAACACAATGTGAGTTGAGATGCGTGGGGGAGCCATTAGTAATGGATGGCAGCCCCGTGCATCTCTACAAACGGGTTTTGGGGTGGGAAGAGAGCATGATGTTAGTTTACATTTTCTTGGTGAAAACAAACGTACACTTTAAGACCAGTTCCCATTGCGATCACCTTATTTTCCCAGATGGAAACAGAATAAATAATGAAATATGGCAAAATGCGTAATATTTCCAGAAACAAACCGTAACTTTGAAGACATGGGTCAATATGCTATAGCAAAGCAGAAGCAATCATGAAGCAGGACAGAAATCATATCTGGCATGTTACCACAATCCTACTGATGCAAGTGTTATTCAAACAATGTAGAGATGCTTAAATTGGAACTTCAAGCAAATTGCTATACACAAAGCAGAAGTACAAATACCTAAATTGTTTTAGCCTATCTCCTGCTTCCTGCATCATGTACCTGCTCAATGGGCAATAAATCTGCAGAGCAGCAAGTGACACAGGAAGATGAAAACTAACAGTGGTCATACCTATCCAGCTATGCAGCATGGCCAGGTACATGAGAATAATCAGACAAGTTGAACAAAATTTCAAACTCCTTGGCAGGTAAAACACTTCACATAGTGTATTTAGCTTTTTGACTGATGTTCCGCTTAAAAAAAAAAATCTATTTCTGTTCAACATGCAAAGAGGTCTAAATGTAAAAGGAAATGAAATACAATATTAACAGCTCTATCAAGACAAAATTAAAAAAAAAAATATTTGGAATTTTAATACAACGTATTAAAACTGGACAAACCTCCAGTTGCCATTTTCTTTTTGGCTTTTTTGTTCATGGCCTTTTCCAGACAGTTCTGAATATCATTTAACAGATCCATACTCTCCTCTGGGGTCTAGATAAAATAAATATTGATGTTAAAAACGAATATTACAGTATAGCTACTAATGGTACACAGGACTAAAATGAAGGTGCCGTGATAGTTTCCTGCAGAGGCAGTCACACCTGGATAACAAAATCTAAATGGTCAAAACTAGTAATGATTGTTTTAACTGAGCTTCTCTTATCCTACACACAGGATAAAAAAAAACTTCACATAATATATGTTACATTTATACTGTACATATAAATACGTTTACTAGTGAGGTTATTTTTCATACTTCTTCCAAGACTAGGCAAGTAACAGATTTACCTGGTACAGACACCACCAAGAGTGAGTGCTTACTTTCTTCCACTTCCATGCCACCCCAATCTGTCACTGCTGCTTTAAAAAAAAAAAAGTAAGGTACTTCTAGGTATGGAAAAACATGTAAAATCTCCCTTAGCTTCCCAAAGTGCAGTGCCTGGAGCCTATGGAAAGCCCTGGCAGTTTGTAAAAATAAAGACTTGCACATTATTTTTTGGGAGACCTGCAGCAATGGATCGTGTGTCGGGGGGGGGGGGGGGTGAGAAAGAGCTACTCATGAAGCTTGCAATCAAGAGCAAATTGTTACTTTTCCTAGTTCAAGAAAAAAAACAAAAATTCACACAGCATTTACAAAGTGCACAAACCAATATACTGTATATCCATACAAATAAAACATAAAAAAACTCAAGTGAACTACCAGGTAATAACTATAACAAGACCTGCAGTAAACACCAAAAGTGTTCCTACTCACAAAATAGCAAATAAATAGAAAGTGTTGCACCACTCTATTGGTCACAAGCTATGCACAAAAAGCCACCTCAAAAACAACAATTAAGTGGTCACAAACAATAATAGCCATACAGTGACAACATAAAAGATATTTTATGACAGTGAATCAATCAATAAAGTGCCAGAATGCAAACGCGGTAATATAACAATTCCCCCACAACTGTGGTAAAAAAATGTGCATAAATCAATAAATGTATAAATATACTAAAAATTAATCAGTCTGCTGATTTTGCAATTAGGGTGGCTTTTTGCTAATAGTTTATGTGACCAATAGGGTGGCACAACACTTTATTTGCTACTGTAGATACATACCTGCCCCTAAGTATGCCTAAGGGTGCCTATCATGTTATGAGGGAAAACCTTAAGTTTGCATTGCTGACCTCTTTCTAAAGATGTAAGTATTTTTCCCTGGAAAAAGAATGGAAATTTTCTGAAAAACTGAAAAAATATAAATAAAATAACAATGTGGAGTATTTTTACACATTGAAAGTCACTTTGCTACACTGGGAATGTGAAATGCAGTGTATATAAAGTAATTATGCTTGAAATAAAAGTCCAGCTTATTCAGTAAATAACTAAACTAAACTTGCTTTTTAAAAAAAATGTTTTTATTACAAATGGAATAACAGTTTAGAGTAAATCTTTATGTATCCTTGTGAGCTGCTATATTTGGTAATCTGAATTAAAAGCTGCTGACACCAAACTCTGTCCCCTAAATTTGTGTACTCCTTCAGTGAATAAATCAAATTCTGTGAATAAATCCTACAGACACAGCTGATCACGTGATGAGGTAAAAGGCCAATCACAGTGGTCTTTAGCCACGTGATCAGCTGTGTCCAATGACACAGCAGATCACAGAGTAAATAGTTGCCGTTATCGGCAGCACTTTCCTCACGCTGTCACAGTGCCGCCTATCAGAGCCCATCAGTGCAACCTATCCATGCCGCCTAACCAGCTTTTGTTCACTGATGGAACTATTAAACCACCTATTGCACTATAACAATAGTGGTGGATATCTCTCTTATATCTCTGCTTTTCCAGTGCAGCTTTCCTCTTGTGCCACTATCCCCACTGAGATCCTTCACTCCTCCTGCTGCTCAAACACCTCCTCAAGATGTTCCTGTACCTCATCAGTGCTGCCTATCCATGCCACCTCATCAGTGCTGCCTATCCATGCCCTATATCAGTGCTGCCTATTAGTGCAGCCTCATCAATGCACATCAGTGAAGGAGAAAAATTACCTGTTTGCAAAAGTTTAGAAACAAAGAAATGTGGGGGTTTTTTGTTCAAACTGTTTGCCGTTTTTTGTTTATAGTGCAAAAAATAAAAAACACCCAGTGGCAATTAAATACCACCAAAAGAAAGCTCTAGGTGTGTGAAAAAAGTGATATAAATTTCATATAAGTACAATGTTGCATGACTGCGCAATTGTCATTCAAAGTGCTGAAAGCTGAAAATTGGCCAGGGCAGGAAGGGGGTATAAGTGCCCAGTAGGCAAGTGGTTAAAGTGGTTGTAAAGGATTAAGGTTTTTTTACCTTCATGCATTCTATGCATGAAGGTAAAAAAAAAACCTGCTGTGTGCAACAGCTTCCCCAGCCTCATCGCAATCCAGCAGTGTGAATGGCAGCCTCAGCTGTGATGGGTCTCTACCTCCTCATTGGCTGAGACAGCAAGCGGTAGCCATTGGCTCCCGCTGTTAATCACAGCCAGTCAGCCAATGAGGAGTAATGGGGGCGGGGCCAAGCCGCAGCTCCGCGTGTGAATGGACACACGGAGCAGCAGGTGCCCCCATAGCAAGCAGCTTGTTGTGGGGTCACCCAACAGACAGGAGGAGCTAGGAGAGCCTGCGGGGAACCCAAGAAGAGGAGGAATCAGGATGCTCTGTGCAAACCCCCTGCACCTAGTAGGCAAGTAAGACATGTTTATTTTACCAAAAAAAAGAAAACCTTTAAAATCGCTTTTAAGTGTTGCTAAACTCAGGACCCTGCATTCACTATATATGATCTCCCATAGTACACAACATGGAAATGCAATTATTTTAGAAAATATAAACTGCCAAAAACCTTTTCTCATCAGCAGTTACAGCAATCTCGTGACTTTTATCAGTTTCTCAGTGTCCACTCTCCTCTCATTGTCTTATGAGACTGCAGGACCCCTGACCCTCTGTCTGGACAGTGCCGATTGGCCTTGTGCTGATCACATGCACTCTTCCAAGAGTGGAGATGAGTCAGGGACAGTGGAAGAATCAGAGAAGACATGATTAAATGTCCTTCTTACACAGAGGATTAACACCTTAAGCTCCATAGCGAGTATAACATGCATGCTTTACTGCATATACAGATAGATTTTACTGCTGTGGGATTAATAAAACTTTAAGGGCTTCACGTTATATAGTTTGTATACCATGTCATAGATAGGATATTCATCACTGCAAAAGAACATACTCCTCAATATATCCCAATTTTTCCCGGCCTTCCCATCTCTACTTCTTTCTGAATAACGGACCATTGATGTCAGTACTCCGGGTCTTCTGTGCACTAGTATTGGTTCAAGGACCAAATAATGTACTGAAGATGATCAGCATAACAACCAGCCAAATGTGCACTTCTTAGGGTTTCAACCCATACAATTAAACACACACATAATATACTCAGATTAATCTTTTGGTTTAGGGTCAACTAGCTTAACAGTATGTTTTTGGATTGTTATAGAAACACAAAGCACTGGTTGTATAATGCACAAAACAGAGAAAAAACAGAGGAAAAACAAAGGACCCCCCAATCAAAGAGTGTTTATATCCTAGGACCTCAATGCTGCAACAACCACCCTCTAAGCCACTGTGAAGCTACCAGTGAGATAAACAAATCAAGAACAACAATTTATTTTACCGCCACAGTATCTCTCATATCGCATGTTCTAGCGGGTAATATTTTACCTTAAAAATATGAATTCCTACTAGCAGCAACAACTGTTGATAGGCTGATAGCTCCATGCTATTTGATTGCTTGATCGCTTGCTTCTTTTGCAGGTCTTCTACATATTGAAGCATTCTGCACATAGGAAAAAATAAATCCAACAAAATGGAACAATTACATAAGCTAAAAAAATAATATTTAGATGCACAATTTGTTCACTTAAAAGCCATTGGTGTTTCACAATTTTAAGGTTAACTCTGCTTTTGTGGGAAAAAAAAATAGCGTATGCAATTGAGACACAAGAAAAAGTCATTGTAATTGAATGCTATTTTTTTTTTTTTTACAATAAAAGTAAATGTCTGCAGTGTTACAAAAATACCTAGGTACTCTGATCTAAACACTGGTAGCTTCCAAAATTTGTAACAGTTGAAATATTGAAAACAGTACATGATTTCCAATGGTATCTTGTAGAATAAAAGCCAAAAAAAATGAATCTCAGTGTATTTAAAATAAAGTGGTTCAAAAGGGCAGCAGGTTTATTTAACCGAATGTATGCTCTGCATTAAAAAGGTAAAATAACCTTCTGTGTGCAGCTTCCCCAGCTATCCTTATACTTACTTGAGCCCAATCTCGATCCAGCGCTGTATCTGAGAGCATTGGTTCTTTCCGAACTCTCTCCCCTCACTGGCCATGGAGGCTGCAGAGAAACAATAACTTCTGCTGCAGCCAAATCACAGCCAGTTAGGGAGTGGGGTGCAGGGCCTGGGCGCACACAGCAGGGCTCAAGATCTAGCTTGCCTAAGTGCCTCAAAAGCAGACGACTTGCTCTGAAGGCACTTGGTGGGGTGGGGGGGGAGCCAGGAGTGCTGGCGGAGGACACAAAACGACGATCAGGGCTGTCCTGTGCAAAACCATTGCATGGAGCAGGTAAGTGTGACATGTTCGTTATTTGAAGAAAAAAAAAAAAAGGATTTACAATTACTTTAAAGCCTGGATAACATTCTACTTATAGTAAATGAGGAAAAGCTGGTGAAATGAAACAAAGCCTGCTCTACATCTAGTTGGAAGTTTTTCTTCAATATAATTTGCAGTTTGCATTTATCTTACAACTCTCATCCCATGTACAGTTTAGTTCAGTTTATTTTGAACCACTTTAAAAACCAAAAACACATCAAAAAGAGTGAATAAATAAGCAGACATACTGTACAGAAATCTTATCAATTTTGGCCAAAAACAGCCTCGTTGAATTGTAAAAAGAAACAATTACATAAGCTAGCCTGTTCTTCATCTCTTCAATACTGCAAATATTTTAATAACATAATTAACCAGTTGTGGAGCTTACCGATCCCAAGCTTCCTTTTCCTCTTTGTTAAATGGTTTAACAGCTTTAACAACTTTTTCACGTGACAGCAGCAAATTAGCATAGCGCACCATGCAATGAATCCAAAGGCTCCCATCTGCGGTAACTCCAACCACATGTCTCTCCTTTAAACTGTTATCTGCAGAACCTTCTCCAAGGGCAGGCATGTTGTTCAAATTAAGCAACAAGCTGAAATGCAAGAATTCACAGACACAAATGCATTAATTTTTCTACCTCCTTGGAATACAACAAAAAATGTATGTTTACTAATGCCTAAACAAATATAGAAACACAGTAAAATCATTAATCATTGTCCCCTATCCCCCCCCAAAAAAAAAAAAACTGGAAACTTTATTTAGGCCCTGCTCTCACAAACTGCAGTGACCTGCATTGTACTGCACTGGAAGAACGCAGGTCACCATAATTGTTGTACGTGTTCGGTTGACATAACACTGGTGTCATATGCAGTGTGGTGCGTTAAAATTCTACATGTATGCATTTTATGCAAGGTACGTAAATGTATGTAAATGCACATCAACACAAGCCTTTTGAAACAAAAAAAAATGTTTATTATGTCTTACAAGGCAGCCATCCTAAAGGGGAAGTAGAGAGAGTGTGCAGTGAAAAGCTGGCTAATGAGATGTCTGAATGGCAGGGTTTGCAGAAAAAAGATGAGTGACAATGTAAGTCCTGGTACAGGTTCAAAACTGATCTTTACTCTCCCACTGTGTGAGCAATGAACGCAACAATAGCGCTGTTTGGCTTTCCCCCATCTCTCCAATATAGCCAGTGCTATCACAATGATTAGGGATGTCACGCTAAGCATCCAGTTTCCAATGCCTCTCCAAGGCATTGTCAAACTGCCAATGACACACACTTTTTCTCAACCCACAAACTGGAAAAAGATGTGATGTCAGAGGAAATAACCCACAAATTGAAGAGCAATTTACCACACGTTGAAAACACACATCACTGAATGACTATTCATTTTGTTTACTCAGTTCCATGCAATTTAATGTATGTTTATGTGTGAACAGTCCCTTAATGCCAGCTTGTAAAAGTGACTTTTTTTAATTATTGTGCTTTAAAATAATTTTTTTCAGAACAGGGTCTGCTGCATGCCAGCTGAAGATTTTTCTGATATCTATCCATGTGTACTGATGTTTGTTAATTGCTGTACTTTTAGCCTGGATCTCCTCCCTGTTCTAATGTAAATGTATATGACGCTTGCAGCTGAGAGCTTGCCTTTGTCTAGATAGAGGAACTGTGAAATCCTGTGCATGTACTCAGATGTACTGTTGTGTGCTCTCTTTTATAAATATATGGAAATCAAAAGTTAGCTGTCTGGAGTGCTGCTATTGTTTATGGGACCTGTGACCCCACCAGAAAAAAGTTAAAGTTAAGAGAAGAATTAACAATGAGTATTTAAAAAAAATAATTTTTTCCCAACAATTGAAAAAACTGAGGACACAGCAAACTTTTGGGGATGGTCAAGAGCAGTCCAGGAAAAAAAGAAAAAAAAAAAGTGGGAGAAAGAAACCTCTGGAAAAAAAATCCACATATATTCTGACCAAACTGAATAACGTGGCTGCCTGCAATACTGTGCAACCAAAACTAGCACCAGCAAAAGTTGCTGCAGAGAGACACAGTGTGGCCATGCAGTCACCTGCACAGGCAACCCAAGGAAGAAAGTGAAGGGGAATGAGGATGATTGTAGGGTCCTCTGTAAGCAGATAGTCCCCCACTACCATGCCCAGCATACACTACCAATTCAGACAATTTTGAAAGAAAACCATTTAATGTACCAGTTTGTCTGTAAAGTAAGGAGCTTAAATGCATGATGCCCTAAATGTAACTAGTTATGCTGAACTCTCAAACCACGGAGAGAAGTGTAAGGGGTCCACATTAATGTTTGCCTTTTGGCGAAGAGTGAGGAGAAGACAGGCATACACACCTAGAACAACAATGCATTAAAAAAAAACAACAACCACATGAGCCCAAGGAACATAAGACAAGAGGGACAGGCACAAAAGAAAAAAGTACTCACTCTAAAGTGGAATCTGTAGATTAAAGTGTTTGATGGACAACGGAGTTTGTGTGGCACTGTGTAATACTACTGTGAGCAACTGGTTATTCAGACTCCAGAAATCACTGGACGTCTGTAAAATCTCTACAATGTACTAAGGTAAAAAAAAAAAAAAGGGCTTCCAACCTCCTAGAACACCAAAGTAAAACGGATGCATTATTGTTCATGCAAAGGAGTATAGCCCACTGGAAAAAGCAAAGTCCTTCAACTTTTATCACCAAACTTTGAGAGGCATGATCAGTACCCACAGAGGTCTGCTGTGTCCCCCAGTGAATGCTCAGAAAAAAAAAAAAAAAAAAAACGATTCAATCCAAGTGAACATAAAACAACTTTGCTCTGCAAAACCAACATAAAATTTTAATATAAACCTGAAAAATGCTTCAGACACATGTGCACGTATTTGGTCATTCAGGGGTACTGATGGGCGTATCTCTGTTTCCGGAATATCAGATGCAGATTTCTTTGCCTCAAAAAATGCATGGAATAGAATAAACCTAAAGATTAAAGACACAGGGAATTTTGTTAGGAGCATTCCAGTACCGTGATAAACATTTAAACTTGCAATTCAGCTATTAGGAAATTCTTACTTAGAAAGAAAACACAAAAAAAAATTAAATGAATTCACCATTTATAGTGGCAGAAACTAATATCTTACCGTGCAATATCCATCACTTGATCCTCATCCCGCTTTACTTGGGTATTGTCAATGATACTTGTAAGCCGTGGAATAATCCATTTTCTCAGGCGTAATACCACATGATCAGCTCTTTAAACAAATACATGAAAAAAAAAAAAAAAAACACGACATTTATTGTCATGTATTTTCCCTTACATCAATACAAAAATATAACATTGTGACCAGCTGATTGTGCTTCACAATATGCACACACATCAAGTCTTAACTCACGGCATCTCTTGCTCCTGTTTCTCCTTCTGACGTTTGGTACTGAAATCTAGGCAGGAATCAAGATCTGGACTAAGGAACATGTTCTTCAACCAATCAATGTAATTTTGCAGAGCAGATGGCTTTAAATGCCTAACCACTTTCCATGTGCTGGGAACCACTGGGTATCCTTGATTTGTAAGCGATGAGAATCCAATAAGAACTGTAAGTTGTTTTTTTGCATCTTCACAGTTTTCCAAAAAGGCATCTACGTATGTGTTCATTTCAGGGGCAAACTTAAACCTGTCTATAGGCTATATAAAACAAATATTACAACACAATTAAAAAACAGATCTTACAACAAAAAATGTAAACATATTTAAATTATTAAAATATCACAATATCAGTATGTCTATTAGCAGGCCTGTAAACACACCACAATTTGGCAGCCACATATTCACACATAAAACAAGGATAAGCTACAATGAGGACACTTAAACAAATAATGATTGTAATGCATTTCAATAATTCAAATATTAAAAAACTTATTTCTAGTGTTTTTGTTTTTCTAAAACTGAATTTTTCCATTTTCTCCAAGCACTTTGCACATCTTTCCTGTGTCTCTTGCTTTACTGAATGAGCCCATAGGTATTCATGGTATTGGGCAATTCACCTTCATGCTTATTGCCTATAGTAATCCAAGAGCCTATATTTCGTGTTTCAAAAAACATGCAAAGCCACATATGACCAATTAATACAATGCAGGCTAAGCAAGAAATACATAAAGTGGCCATACAAGAATCTACAATAGCAGTAGTACCAAACCTCAGTCTTTAAGTACCCCTGACAGGTCACGTTTTCAGGATTTCCTTCACCTGGCACAAGTGCTTTAAATCAATGTCAATGGCTTGGTATTTTGCAGCTTTTTTGGCTACTTGAGGAATGAGGTTAGGGGAAACTGCAGTGCAGAGATGATATGCTCGCCAAACTGCATCAGCCCTTCAGGCTGTGCAGCATCTGACAGCTATGGCATATTCTTAAAAAAGCCACCTGGTTCCCAAACCAGTTATATCCTATGGAATGGAATTTATATTTGTCTACCTGGGCAGTGTAGACCATCTTTATTTCTTAACCAACATCAATCTCAGACTAGGATCTGCGGTGGTAGCGCAGAGAAAGCAAAAAGTAGTTTAACTAGGGCAGACAATACAGTATTTAATTTGGGAATAAAGGGGTGTTTGACTTTTTACCAAAATTGTCCTACTTACTGAAAGCTTTGGTCTATGTTCACCTGTAAAAAGAATTAAAGGCTCCATACACACTAGGCTTAAAAAAACCCCGCCAGTTCCCTTAGAATCGCTTAGATCATTGTTGTACAATGTTTAGGAAAGTTTAGGACTGTTCAGTGTTTTGTGGCAGGGAACACTAACCAAAAATGCAAATCACTAGGTTTTTCTTTTCTGTTTCTAGGCGCCAAGCTTAAAATATGCCTCTAATGTGCATGGACACATAGGATAACATTCAGCTGCTTCTACAGGCAAAACAAAAACTCCTGTAGAAGCAGAGTTTTTTTAAGTGTGCATGGAGTCCAAATATCTAAAAGATGTACCATGGATGGTCTTCCATGATTCAGACAAGGGTAATAATGATCCTACAAACCAAGAAAATTCCAAGTCAAAAGGCCCTTACCTGAGTTGAGACACAGTGATTTCCATAATGCAACATGACTTCACTTCTAAGGACATGCTGCAATTGGCTTTTATCCAACAGAGGTAAAGAAGCACCCAGGAGCCTATAACACATGTAACTGGAAAAAAAATTATATAAATAAAAAAAGCTATAAAATGAAACAATGTGGAAAAACTAAAACAAGCTGTGCATTTACAATTAAGTGCAGTTAGTATCAAGAAATATTACTGCATGAAGTTAATACCAGTTGTATATTTAGACTTGCAAGGTAAGTAAAGGCAAGATGACAAGTTTTCAAATACAAGAGAGTTAGAAACACTGTGGCAAGTTATTTAAAGCATAAGAAACACAAACACTTACATGCATGGTCCAAACTGTTCTTGCATCAGACCATTCTCCACAACCTCTTTCCAAAACAATTCAAACGTCTCCTCCTTTAGAGAGATCTTCACCATGTCCAGAGCTACTGCTGGAAGACACCTCTCCTTTTTCACAGACTTGGCAGCCATTTTTAACAGATCCACCAACCTTGACAAAATATAGAAAATGCTTTTTTTTTTTTTTCCTCTACAAATAAAACCCAATTCTTATGTTGGTTCTCAAAGTCTTAGCTACAATATCCCTTGTTAGGCACTGCTTGAAACAAGAATAGTGCACAGCACATAAAAGTATTCTGTTGCAACAAGGCTTTTCAACATTTTTGCAACACGTAGGGATGTTTACCCTACGTGAAACATGAAAGAAAAAAAAAAAAATCCACAAATCAAAGTTTGACACAGATGAGGTAAAGCAATAATCCCTCCTGAAATACAATAAACACCAGCCTATGTATGAAGGACCTTGAAAAGAGCAGGTATATGGCACAGGTTTTAATCACTTAACATCTTCCCTATGACAGTTCTACTGCTACAGGGCTGCATTCCAGTGCAATATCACATGTATGTATATATATATATATATATATATATATATATATATATATATATATATATATATATATATATATATATATATATATATATATATATATATATCACACATACACACGATTTTTACACTTCTGCCATACGCGGATGCGCACATATCACTGGCGGATCCCTTTTGCTGTGATATGTCACAACACAAACTGATCTACAAGCCCCAGCGAGCACTTGCTCGCTGGCACCTGCAGATCGTTGGTCAGGGAGGAAGAACAGAGCTGTATCTATGTTATGTATGTGGGGGGGGGGGGGGGGGGGGGATTTGGGGGTTCATATAATCGTGCATCTCTGCAGAGCTGAGAGCACGATCCATCGCTTCCCATAGTAAAAGCACCACATAGTGTACACAAAGCACATAGCTAGGCACCCACTTAACCTTTTGATCACCCTAAATGTTAACCCCTTCCCAACAAGTGTCATTAGTACAGTGATTAGCGTATATTTTTAGCACTGATCACTGTATTAGTGTCACCATTTCCCACAAAGTGTCAGTTAGTGTAAAAATGTTTGCTGCAATATCACAGTTCAGCTATAAGTCGCTAAATCGCAGCCATTACCAGTATAAAAATAAATTTTACAAATTCCAATATATGTACAATAGTTTGTAGATGCTATAACTTTCACGCAAGCTAATTAATATACAATTATTGGGATTTTTTTACCAAAATATATGTAGCAGAATACATTTTGGCCTAAATTTATAAAGAAATGTGATTTTTAAAAAATTTTTTTATTGGATATGTTTTATAGCAGGAAAACAATTGTTTTATTTTTTTCAAAATTGTTAGTTTTTTTGTTTATAGCGCAAAAAGAAAAAACTGCAGAGGTGATCAAATACCACCAAAAGAAAGCTCTATTTGTGGGGGGGGGGGGGGGGGGGGGGGGGGGGGGACAAATTTCATTTGGATGCAGCATTGAACGACCGCGCAATTGTCAGTTATAACGCAGAGCCGTATCGCAAAGAATGGCCTGGTCAGGAAGGGGGGGATAAATCCTCTGGACGGAAAGTTTTTAATGTTTATATATGGCTTTGTGGGGAACCAGACTTTACCCAATGACTAAAGCTTGCCAAAATACAACTTCACATTTTAAAATTAGATCTTGAATTGAAAACTTCTGAAAATGCTAGTTGTTTTGCTTAGTCTAACATCAATTCTTTCTGATTCACTGACCTGGAATATACAAATGAGGTCATGATGAAGTCAGAGCTACAAATCTGCATACAAATGTCTCAGGTCAGTGACAGCCAGAATTTTCAGTAGAGGTCAGCAAAGGCAACTACCATATGCCTCTAAGCAAAGGTTCCCAGACAGCTCATAGCATCTTACTTTGGTATGTTTTCCTGTGAAGTAATCATGGAAGACCCAAGGAGCTTCTTTAAATTTTTGGGCTTCAGCACTCCTGGAAACTTTTGCATTCCCACAAGCAGCAAGTGTAATTGTTCCGGAGTGCTAAATGCTGATGTCAGGTCAGAGCGTAGCACCTCAAATAGTACTTCTTGAAATGTAGATTCAGGAATCTAAACAAAGGAAAAGGACTTCATGTAAGATACCAGGTATTGTTATACACAAAGTAAACTTTTCAGTTCACAGTAGTTCTTCAAAATACCACAGTTACTGTATACAGTCTATCATTAACCGGTTTTGTACTGCAGGCATGCTACAAACCTTCACAGAAATATACAAGAATATGTAGCATTTGGTCCCTCCCCTGGTGCTTTGACCAGGCAACAAAAACTTTTAATGTATCAAATAAAGATAGTGAGCACTCCTAAGAGGCAGCTGCTAAAACACCAAAAGGTACCAATGTAAAACCTTCAGAGTAGACAATATAATAGGAGTGTAGCGCTGAAAATGATAATAATTATACGGTTTCTATCACCAACCAACTTATGAGGCTGTAATAAAAAATTGCCCGCTGATAGAGTTCAATCATAGATAGGTATAAAATATGAATCAAATCCCAAGATAATAAAATCAGCAGCAGACAGACTTGTGATGCCAACCAGTAGTTAAAGTGCGCACTCACCGGAAGCGCATGGGTAATGCGCATGTGATATAAACCATCAAGGTATCTGTAGATGGGCAGGTCAATCCGGTGAACTTATCCTTTTTGGTGTAGTCATCAAGCTGTAATAAGTTGTCTGCTGAATCCAGAGGTCCCCTTAAGGATGGATAAGGTGCTCAGCCTGTGTACAGGGCTCCTGTTCCTCTGGTAATGCTGTATCACTGGGGGTAACCTGTCACAAGTCTGTCTGCTGCTGATTTTATTATCTTGGGATTTGATTCATATTTTATACATATCTATGTTTGAACTCTATCAGCGGGCAATTTTTATTAAACCCTCATAGGTTGGTTGGTGATAGAAACCGTATAATTATTTTCAGCGCTACACCCCTCTTATATCGTCAACAAAAACTTTTAAAAACCTAAAATGCAAGGTTTCACTGTGTGGACAGCTTTCAGTGGAAGGTCTGGGAAGCGACAGAAGCTGCAATGCACATTTACTTTTTTTTTTTTTCTTCCAACATCATTGAAATATCAAAATGACTTTTCATTCACCACTATGCACTGCAGCTTCAGTGTGTAGAAATGGACAGTGTACACAGCCTTCTGGTGAGCTCTGGTTCATTGCAGAGATATTTAGTATGCATTTTTCTGCACCACACTGCTCAGCACCCAGGGGGGCTCTGTTGCAGTATGAACAGGGCAAATAGAAAATAGTGAGCTTGCGGTGACTTCCGTTAATGCGATTCAGGAAGTTGCCAAGTCTCCACATCCAATTTGAATGAGCCCTAAATACAAACAGCTTGCTTTAACAGCAGAAGTAAAAACAGGTCTTAGTGTTTGCAATCACTGTTTCAGTGTGATTCAAAGATATAAAGTAACATTGGTTTGGTTCATCTTCAGATCAAAAGGGTGAGTGTTCATCTGCAGAGGATGTCAGTTAAAGCAACCTTACAAAGTTTTTATATATACAGTATATAAAAATAATATTTGTATTGTAATGAGGGCAGACTCAGCTGGTATTGAGAGCAGTAAACCTCAAAACAAGACAGGGACTCTCAGGAAAACTCCAAATAGGTTTATCATGTGCTTTTCTTCAGCAAAGCAGAAAACAATGTTCAGTGTCAGAGGGCTTCATACAGCAAGTCTATAGCATTAAAAAACAAAACATCGGGTTTCCTAAGTCACTAACAAACTACAGTCACTTACTACAGCAGTGCTCCCTAATAGGTTCCCCAAAACAGGCAGCTCTTGTACCTTTTTAGTGTGCTGTCAGCACTCAAAAGTAAACCTGACATGTTTTAAAACATCTACATTCTACCAAAATTAGAAAAACGTTTTAGCTTTAGATATACTCGATGGCTTGCTGGGGTATTACTTCCCTCTAGGAAAGCAGGAACAGGAATAATCTCCTGTGTTCAGATACACAAATGCAGAGTTGCCTGAACGTGACCCACAGTGGCCCTAAACAGATGAAATATCTAGATATTTGTTAGACATGCTGAAATTCTGGACTATAAAAAGGCAAAATAAAATCAGTACAAAACTACATACACGGGAATGTAAGGGCACCCTACGACCAGATTTCCCATTTTGGCATATGAAGAAAAAAACAAAAAAAAAAAAAAAAAAAACACCTTGCATAATGCTTAAAAGTAACTTCATTTAGTACAGTACACTCTACAATCTCAAATGTTACCATTGGTTTGTACAAGATCAAATTAATCAACATAGTAACTACATTTGCAATACAGGTCATTTTTTTATGTTAGTTCCCCACCTCAGATAAAATATCAACCAATGTTTTCCTGGGCAAATCCTTCAAGTCATCTCTGTATTGTGCCAGGCTCTGCAGTAATTGCACGCACTGAAGTAAGACTTTTGTGTCCTGTATAAAGAAAGAAAATACTGCAAACAGATTCACCTAAAACATGCTTTTGGTGATGCATACATTGAAAAAAGAACACAATGTTAATTCACACTTCAGACTTGTTAACTTCTTTTCCAAAAATCTTCCAAGACAGTTCACTAAAAAGATGGCTGTGCCCACCTCCCCAAAACATAAGATCATATAGGTTTAAAAGACTACAAGAAGCCATCGCCTCCTGTCAACAGCAAGATGACAAGCCTTAATCGCTTCCCGTCCACCCCTATAGCAGAAGTACTGCTACAGGGCGGCACGGGTGCACAAAATCGCGTATATACACAAGCGTGATTTTGCATTTCTGGGTGGGGACGCACGAGGCGCATGCATGCCCTACCCGCGCCACCATTTATGGCCGTGGCTGTCAATCACAAGGCCCAGCTGGTGATTACTCGCCGCCGCCCGGTGATTGCCCAGCATCTCCAACAGGGGTGTAGAACTGTTTGTAAACAAAAAACAGTTCTCTCCCCTGTCAGCTCCTGCACACTGCTTTGCATGGCTGTGCACAGCACAGCCATGCAAAGCAGTGTGCTTACAGTGAAGCACACAGACACAGCCCTAGTAAAGACAGCGCACAGTACACGGTTATCCTTTGATCGCCCCACATTAACCCCTTCCAGTCCAGTGCCATTAGTACAGTGTCAGTGCTTTTTATTAGCACTGATCACTGTATTGGTGTCACTGGGGATGTCAGTGACTTCAAGTCCGTTCCCCACAGTGTCAGAATGCCCATGGCAGTCCCGCTATAAATCACTGATCGCTGCCATTACTAGTAAAAATAAAAAATTAAAAATCCCAGTATATACACACACCACCATTTGTAAAAGCTATAACTTTCACGTAAACCAATTAATTTACACGTATTGGGATTTTTTTTTTTTTTTTTTTTTAGCAAAGACATGCAGCAGAATACATTTTGGCCTAAATTTATGATGAAATTTTTTTTTTTCCTCAAAATGGTCGGTCTTTTTTTTTTCTTTTTTTATAGCGCAAGAAATTAAAAATTTCCATCGGGGAAAAAAAAAAAAAAAAAAAAAAAGGACGTATATTTAATTTGGGCAGAGTGTTGCATGACCATGCAATTGTCAGTTAAAGTAACGCCGCAGCTCCATAACACAACAAATGGCCTGGTTCGGGGGGGGGGGGGGGGTGTAAATCCTCTGGAGGGCAAGAGGTTAAAAGAGAAGTGTGACCAAAGCTTTTTTGGCTGTATTACTCTTGTGAGTCACAGGAGTAGATTTACTTTTGCACTGCTGTAAACTAGAGTCAGCTTTTAGCAGTTTATTGCTGCCTAATTGATGGTTGATTCTTCCTCTCAGCTGAAAGCCAGAGCCAGCTACGCACAACCCAGTTGGTGTCCGCAGAGAAACAGCAGCATGCCAATCTTTCCAGTGATGAGCTATGGGGGATGCCTTAGCAGAGGTCTGACCAATGAAGTACAGGTAGGCTGTGCTCTCAAGTATTATGCAAAGAAAACTGACCTCACTGGGATGGATGTTTTTCCATTCTCTGGCGTGGTCAGTTTAAAATAGGAAAGCAGAGGGACTGGCAGGATCACCAGATATTCACACAAAAGGAAGCAATGCAAAGAAAACAGGATGCTTTCTAACACAAGTACATATTAACAGAGACACATACCAGAAATATATCACTTGCCATGCTTTATGCTCGTAGACAAACAATATTCATAATTTTATCCACAGTACAAATATTCTGCCAATACGTATATAGGTAAGCATTGGCAAAAGGAAGCCAATAATAAAATTATCTCACTTCTTTCTTCACTTGTATGTTTTGTCCAAGAATATTACCTTGGGGAGACGACCAGACTGGAACAAAGCAAGAACTCCAAACAAATTGCCGAATGCAGCATTTCTCACCAATTTCTGAAAATTACAATTTATTAAATTAGTATGGTCAAACACAATAACCTCATATCATATGGTACTACTGAAGGAAATGTCACAATTACGGTGCTACAGTAAGTACAGAGAACAGTGTTTCATAGAGTACCACTCTAAAGTGGAACTCCCTATAAAAATGTCTAACTTTCAACATAGTGGGTGAAGGTTGAAACTTCTCAGTTATTTTTTTTTTTTCTCTGTCCATGCCCCTGCAAGGGAGATCTCTTATTTTTTGTCTCGATGACCAGACAGACCAGACCTTTTCCCCTATACCATAAGAAATACTGCGTCCCATTGGAAGGAAATCCCACACTTCCTTTCCACTGAAAAATAAAAGGGGGGCGCTTCCCAATAAGGCTAGTCATCAAAAACTTCACAAGAGGTAATCTCCTTTCAAATTTAAACTTGACAAGAGTTGTTATTAATAAATTGCAAAAAAATAAATATGTGAGCTCACCTTTTTTACTCTCTGGAGGTTATATTTCTCATCAATGTATTCAAATACTGTTGTCAGTGGGATCTCTTCAAAACACTGCACAACCTTTGTGAAAAAAACAAGGGTTTACAGTTATGAATTCTTTCTGCAGAAAATCCAGGGATAGAAAAAGCACAAAATAAGTAACCGTGTTTAACTAATGACTCTAAATAACGACTTACCTAAACCCATTCTCAGGTTCACCACAGTGAATAAACTGCAATAACTGGGATGTGCTTTACTTCACCTGCCTGCCGTTTACCATTTCAATTCAAGATACCACATACAAAAAACACCATACATGCACCCATACAGCACATTATAGTCACAAACTTTAACAGAAGGATAAATATCTTTATTCTCAGCTATATCACTATTTTGTTAATCCTTTTAGACTCCGCAAAATAAAAAACTGTCACTTTTTGGAAAATGTAGATTGCTAGCCTGGTATGCTGGCTTTGTAAATAGAGCCTAAGGTATCCACAACTGATTTCCATAATAGTGATATAAAATATGAATTATACAGTAGTACAGAAAGAACGTGCCAGTTATTTGCAGCAACCAATGTTAGTATCACTCTCTAAACACACCTGGGGAAAATTCAACAAAAACTGATCAGATGCATTCTCTGTTACTGTAATTTTACAGGTTAACCCCATGTTATCAATGAGCAGGTTCTGATATGTATATAGAGCTTTGGGCTGTGTAGGGAAAGACTAAAGTATGAGGTTCAGCAACAAGCCTCAACACAAAAAGGATAAAGCAACAATCTAAAGCAGGTATGTTAAGGAGAATTCAGTAAGACTGGAGCAGCAGGGCATGCCCACCAATCAGCTTCTAGCTTTCATTTTCAAATTTGAAAGGTGCTTGTAAAAGTTATGGGTTTTTTTCAACAAACAAACATGTTATACTTACCTGCCCCAAAGGTAAGCGCTCTCCACACTTCTTCTGTTTTGCAGATGTGCAGACTCACTCCCAAGCTAGCTCAGTGTGTCCATAGAGGCAAGTAGTGCAGCTCGACCCTGCCCCCTGCTCACCGGCTTTGACTAACAGCAGCAGGAGCCAATGGCTCCCAATACTGTCTCTGAGCCGAGCCTCAGCCTTGGGCACAGCATTGAATCAAGATCAGAGTCATGTAAGTAATTTAGGGGGGCTTGGGAGTGAGCTGCACATGAAAGGTGTTTTACCTTAATGCAGAGAAAGCATTTAGGTAAAAAGAAAAAACCTTTACAACCACTTCAACTGATCAAGCTGAAGACAGAATCTGATTTGTTGCCATGCACAGCTGCTTTGGATTCTGTTTGGTCCAGTTTTAGGTCCCCACACTGTGTTGCAGATGAAAGCTAAAAAGACTAAACCTGTCAACAAATCCATAAAGTTCTGTTTAGTAAGGCAGAAAACTATGCGAGGGTACTCAAGCAGTACTAGAACTAAAGTGGGAAGTGCAGAGGACCAGAAGCTGAACTGGACTTTAAGAGATGCAGTGTTTTGTAAATGTTTAAAACTACTGCATCCATCTGCAGTTCGATGAGGTTCACTTTCCAAACAATTCACAAATCTGATCAAAGGAAAGTGTTTGTACTAGTATAAGAAAACTTAGTGCAATGACTGAAATACAAAGCACTACATAAAGCGGTAGTAAAACTTTATTTTTTTTTAAACAAAGCTGACAGGATATTTATGACAGAAGAGACCATATCGGTTCCTTCTGTCATAAATTCTGCCCTCCTGCCTGTTATCCATCATGTACACTGAGCCCCGCATGTGCAGCTCAGCGAACATTTATGACCCAAATCTGTGCTGCTGCAATGTGACTCCTATGTGCGAGTGGGAGTGTCTAAGAGTGACATCATAGCGGTCCTGCCATTCAAGCAGCCAAAGGCACGGAACCTGGAAGGAAGAGCGGGCAAAGATGGAAGCGAAGGACAACTGCCAGATCAATCACAATGCAATGCTGGAGGGCTTGGTTTGACAGGTAAGTATGCCATAATATGCTATGTATACAAGCAAATTATAGAGTAACCCACCTGGGGGTCCTTAAAAAAAAAAAAAAAAAAATTCTAGTGGACTTAAGTACCATTTTAAATATTCTTAACAGTATCCATAAAAGCAGGAGTTCATACAGCTTGCGTGCAACTAAGCCCAGATGTGGTGTCACTATGCCATCCCTATAGTCCCTCGAGAGGAGGATGGGAAGATGAACTGTGTGTCAGGCTAAAGGCTTTTGAGTACAAGCCCAGTCCACATAAACCAAAACACGCTCTTGTTATTACAGCACTTGCCTTGTATGTTGTGTAATGAATTTATTTTGCTAAATGTACCTACCAAGTCCTTTTCTGCATAGGCCATAAAATAGCTTGTGAACATAATATTGAGTATTTACTTAAACGATAGAGATTATGGTGAATTGGACATAGCAGCACTTTGCACCACTATAAACTGAGAAGAAGGTATATTGTATTGTGGTTGAGAGACAGCAGTGGCTGGTCTACCCGATGTGTCAAAGGGATAAGAAAACTTAATTATTAGGCTAAGGCCACATCTGTACAATTCTCCACCACACATGTATTGCTGTGCGTTTCTATGAACATTAACCTGTTGCAGTAAAGCAGACCATTAATTTCAATGAGCTGCCTACAACAATTAAATAGCACCAAAGAAGTGCATGACTTTTTTTTTTCTTTTAATTATGCCACACCAAAACGTTATGTACTTTGTTACCACAATTTATCACAATTTTTCACGCACTTCAGCAAGGTGCAATGGGGTGGAGTTCTATCTGTACTATGTTACAAGTTACACCCTAAATATGAGTTAACATGGTCTAAAAGGTAGAGTGAGCCTTTAAACTTTCACCTTACTTACAGAAGTAAACCTTTCCACCAATGCCTGATCATCTTTGTGACAGTTTAGTCAGTAGTAGTCAGGCCGCCTGTTGCAAACACTGAACTAAGACTCTATGGTAATCATTTATGTCTGTGGACATGCTTGAAAATCATTAAAAACACCTTTTTGTTTCACCTGTGCATTTATCATTAAAAAAAGAAAAGGCTTCAAATAGAGAGAACTCAGAACAATCAGAACAAATGAAAACCATAATCAGCTGTGACATACAAACCTGAGCTAATGCCAAGCTGAATCCTGGACGTGCTGACTCACGGGTAGCTGCCAATCCTTCCACAAGTCTCTTGAAGGTGTATTTCAGCTCATCTTCCTGTGTAATGTGCAAAATAACATTGGCCTTGCATTAGCATTTTCAAATGAATCATTAATGTTGTCATTCATAAAGCATTTTCTGCTGCATGAGAAAGACAAAATGATCTAGAGAGATTTGGCAAATGCAACACAAAGGCTGTATAACCCAAGTATAACAAACATCCTGTACAAAAATTTTAAAAAAATAGTTCTGCAAACAGAACTGATAAAGGTTTCCAGCACAAATAAAGTGTCTATACTAAGAAGTTTTCTGGGCTGCAGTCAGTGCAAAACTAATTTTGCAGATCGCTGTGGAAACTCAAGGCAACTTGTCTTGCAGTGGAATAACATGAAGCATGTTCAGTGTCCACTCACACCTTAACATTGTGCTCCAGTGCATGTGTTTTTGTGTTTTAAAAGCACAATGCCCTGGTAGGCAATTCATTTTGAACAGATGGTCATCCCACCCTAACATATAAAAAAAAGGTCATGCACAATTTTTTCAGCATATGGAAATGCAATGCACAAAACATATGGATATGTGTTCCCCAGTTCCTACAATTTTGCGCATAGAACATGGAAACAAGGCTAAGTGACTAAACTATGCATGAAAACATAGAAACTGGAGGTGCAGAAAAATGGCAGCTGATGCTCTGGAATGAGAAGTCAAAATCTGAAATATCTGGCTGTAGAAGTAGGCAGGTTGTTCACTGAAGGGCTGGAGAGCGGTACAATAATGAGTGTCTGGAGGCAACAATGAAACATGGTGGAGATTCCTTGCAAGCTTGCAAATTGAGTTGGAGATTTGGTCAGGATCAATAGTGTTCTCAATGCTGAGAAATAGGGACAGATATTTATCCATCGTGCCATAACATCAGGGAGGCATGTGACCTGCCCCAAATTTATTCAGCAGCATGACAATAGCCCCAAACATACAGCCAATGTCACTGAACTATCTTCAGTGTAAAGAAGAACAAGGAGTTCTGGAAGTGATGGTTACAGAGCCCTGAAATCAACATCATGGAGTCTGTCTGGAATTACATGAAGAAACACAAGAATTTAAGGAATAGTACATCCAAAAAAGATCTGGGGTTAGTTCTCCAAGATGCGTGGAATAACCTACCTGCCGAGTTCCTTCCAAAACTGTGTGGAAATGTATCTAGAAGAATTGATGCTGTTTTTTGAAAGCAAAGGGTGGTCACACCAAATATTGATTTGATTTGGATTTCTCTTCTGTTCATTTACTTTCTATTTTGTGATTTGATAAAAAAACTATTAACAGTTAACTTTCTGAAAGCTTTCTTAATTTACAGCATTTTTCACACCTACCTAAAACATATGTACAGTAAATGTTATGTAAATATTACTTACTACTGAAAATATAAGCATCTGGCCTGCTTGCACCAGTGACATAACGCAACCTTTCTGAAGGTTCCTGGGAAACACAAAGATCCCAAATCTCATGGAAATGCACTCTCACACAGTATCTTTTTGTGCTGGTCTTTCAAGGCCACTTGCACACTGCTGTTTTATCTTAAACTGATCTAAGTGCAGCCCATTGTTTTCAATGTACCTGTACACACAGGTCCGTAAACATGCTCTGTAAATTGATGAGTAAAAAAATACAGAAATCTGAGGTTCTGGTCAGTATTTTCGTGTGTATGTGCGCAAACGTCACGCTTTCTGCTTGTGTGTGCATGCTCGCAAATACCAGCAAGTGATATACAGCCCATCCTGGTGTTTTTTCTGTCAGAAATGTCTGCTGCTCATACATCAGTACAGTGTGTAAGAGGCCTAAAGCAGAAAGATTACATTTACATTTTACACATTGTCACTAGCATACAACACTGGTTGTACACAGGACAATTTACTTATTGAAAGCTGGACCAGAAGACATCTGGTAGTGTCAAAAGTTACCAATTAGCATATTTTGGCCACCCCATAATACCTCATCTCTAACCCCTCATATGGAGAAACACTTGCAGTAGCAGTAACCATCATAAAGTTACCTCTAATCTGAGTGATATCTACCAGCAAACCTTTCGTTTTGCACATGAGCTCAGTTTTGGTGTTCATAGACCACAAATAGAAAATATTAAAGTGGGATATTTTTAACATAAAACATGACACCCTGTTAAAGTTTAACTATGGGCAAAAAAAAAAAAAAAAAAATGTATATTGCAGTCTATCAGTAACATTGACACAGTAGTGTTAGTCGCCCAGGAAAGGCAGGAGAGGAGCAGTGTATACAGTGACTGGCTGTCACTGTATGCCAGTGCTGGTTTTTAAATGCAATTTTCAGCTTTTTTTTTCCTTCACTATAGCTCAGAGAATGAGCTGTCACTTTCCCAGGAGCTAAAGGAAACTAAGGGGCGGGGTCACTGGGTAATGTCACGGGGAGACCCACCCCTTTGTATATTTTAGCCCTCCAGGAATGACAGCTCCTTCTCTGAGCTATAGTAAAGGGAAAAACAAAGCCGGTAATTACATTTAAAAAACGGCATTGTTTTAAAATGCAATTGCCGGCTTTTTTTTCTTCACTATAGCTCAGAGAACGAGCTGTCACTTTCCCAGAGCTAAAAGAAGTTTCCTTTAGCTCTGGGGAAAGTGACAGCTTATTTTCTGAGCTATAATGATGAAAAAAAAAAAAAAAAAAAAAAAAAAAGCCTAGCAATTGCATTTAAAAAACAGCACTGACATAGTGACAGCCAGTGTGGGAGTCTCTCTGTATACACTGCTCCTCTCCTGCCCCCACCCCTCCCCCCTACAAAGAGGACCTGTCACTCATATGCTATCACATAGGGGACTACTGGTCCCCTATGTGACAGCAATGAAATCATAAGCTAAAAATAAATAAAAATATACATGAAAGTAGAAAAAAATACAAAAAAAAAATTGGGGCAGGATCAAGCAGCTTTTATACACAATGCAGAGGATTAATCCCATAGGTTCCACAGTGAGTTCCACAGAACAAGCATGCTTTACTGCATATACAGACTGATTTTACTGGCATGGGTTTAGTAACACCAACTAGGAAAACTTAAAAAAAAAAAAAAAAGTTTTCCCTTCCAGTGGGGCTTTGCCAAAACTGTAAGGGTTAAAGTGATATTAAAAGCTGACTTTTTTTTTTTTACTAAATAACAAACATGTCATACTTACCTGCTCAATACAATGCTTTTGCTTATTGCAGCCCCAATCCTCCTTTTCTAAGGTCCCCCTCCAGCGCTTCTGGCCCCTCCCTCCTGCCAAGTGCACCCATAGCAGTTTGCTGTGGGGGCACCCAAGCAGGCTTGCTCCCGAGCTGCTGCTCTGTGTCCATTCTTACACAGAGCCGGGGCTCAGCTGCACCTCCTCTCCCTCCTTATTGGTTTACTGACCGTCAAGCTAATTGCTCCCACTGCTGTCTCAACCATTGAGGGAGAGTCCCTGCCCTGGAGAAGTGAGGTTCTCGTGCACATTGCTGGATTGTGATGGGGCTCAGGTAAGTATTCCATCCTACTCCATCCGTAAACAGCACAACCCCCCAGGTTTGTTGTGTCTTTTTTTTTGGTTATGACTGCATTATTTTATTATTTTTTTAGAATATTGTCTATGGCTTTTCACCTTTTCTTCCTCCTGAAAAAGATTCAAATTATAAATCGAATGAATAGAAACGCGTTGGGGTCTTCCTCTTTTGTGATATGTAGCCTAATCATCGCCATTTGCATTCAAAAATTATTTCATGTCCATATCATTTGTATTGATGATGTATTATGTTCAATAAATTTTGTATTTATTTTTTTTATATAAGAAATTTTTTTTATAAGACTTTTTATCATCTTATCTAGTTTTAGTGCTAAAAAAAGTCTCTTTTCCTCATCTGTATTTTTTTTTATGGCTCTGGAATTTTGGGATAAGCACCTTGCATGTTGAACACATGTGACGACTGTTCCTAACCTCGGAAACCACTAAGCAACTCATTCACTCCCTTATTATATCACGCCTTGACTACTGTAACTCCCTCCTCATTGGCCTACCTCATCGCAGGATATCCCCACTCCAGTCCATCATGAATGCTGCTGCCAGACTCATTCACCTTACTAACCTCTCTGTATCTGCCACCCCTCTCTGCCAATCCCTCCACTGGCTTCCAATTGCCCAGCGGATAAAATTCAAAACAATAACACTGACGTATAAAGCCTTTCCTAACACTGCCCCTGATTACATCACCGACCTTGTCTCTAAATACCACCCAAACCGTACTCTGCGCTCCTCGCAAGACCTCCTACTCTCTAGCTCCCTTGTCTCCTCCTCCCATGCTCGTCTCCAGGATTTCTCAAGGGCTTCACCTATCCTCTGGAACTCCCTACCCCAATCTATCAGGCTATCGCCTACTCTGCTCACTTTTAGGCGCACTTTGAAAACCCATCTCTTCAGAGAAGCTACCCCGACCCCAGCTAATACTGGAATCCTCTACTCTTCCTACCACTCCATCCCCCACAGCTATTTCCTCCTGTACCACTATCCCCTCCCTCTTAGATTGTAAGCTCCAAGGAGCAGGGCCCTCCTATCCCTCTTGTATTGAACTGTATTGTTACTGTATTGTCTCCCTCCATAATGTAAAGCGCTGAGCAAACTGTTGGTGCTATATAAATCCTGTATAATAATAATGTGACCAGCACTATACATTTCAGGTAAGTATACTTCTTCTGTCCCCCTGGACAAAAACATGCACTTAACCCTTAATAGCCCCATTGCAAGGGCAATTTTTTTTTTTGCTAAAAAAAAAAAAAGTAGATCATATGCAAGCCAACATTACAGTGTTACTAAACCCACAACAGTAAAATCAGTCTGTATATGCAGTAAAGCATGCTTGTTATACTCACTGTGGAACCTAAGGGGTTAATCATCTGCATTGTATAAAAAAGGCTGTTTGATCCCTTCTTCTCTGCCCCCCCCCCCCCCTTGTGGAGAAGACCACCTGATAGACTGAATCGATAGTCACATGCTCAGTTTGGTGTGTATTGCTAAAGGTTTTTTTTTTTATGGGAGAGTGCATGTGATCAGCACTGTCCAGACAATGGGTCAGGGGTTTCACATCCTACTAGAGCAGAAAGAAAACTCCTCCTACAAGCTTTAACCAGTGCTCTGCTGGACACTGATAGAAGTCACAAGACTGCTCTGTTGATGAGAAAAGGTATCTAGCATTTTATATTTACTAAAATAATTGCATTTCCATGTTGTGTGTACTGTGTGAGACCAGGTATAGTGAATGCAGGGTCCTGGGTTTAGTATCACTTTAAATATCATAATCAGGGGCGGACTGACCATTTGGAAACTTGGGCACTGCCCGAGGGCCTGGGGTCAGTAGGGGGCCCCATGAGATGCCCCTGGTACCTTTTTCATAGGCTTTTTTGAGTTTGGGCAAGGACACAGGGGCCCCATGGTCCCCTATTGCCCGGGGGCCCCATGAGTTGTCATCCACCCCTGATCACAATGTGTGTCTTTAGTTGGTAAACCAGAACCACTTCCAGAATTATGTGAAATCTGGAAGTGTCCCTCTAGATCAGACTATGAAGTGCTCAGTCACTAACAGGGAACGGTAAATGGCCATGCAGAGAATGGGACCATAGCACGTGTCTGCAGATGAAGCGGTGCCTCCACCTCCGAGCATGGGCACACAGCTGCCCCTAGCAATCACCGCGGTCCTCTAGGCTCACCTTCTCACTGGCTTTCAGGTACTCAATAAGATTCTCTGTGGCCCTCAGCCTGACTTCCTGCTCGGGCTTAGCGATGTCCCAGAAAAAGTCCAGGAACTGTCTGTTCTGCTGAAGGACCCCACGAACAGCGGCTAGCCTGTCTTCCTTCGGAGCAGAGTCCCCTCCGTCCATGTCTAAGAGCGCAGCCATGCCGTCCTGCAGCACACGTGTGTGAGTGCTCTTCCGGGGTCATTGCGCATGCGCCGATCGCACTAGCGTGGCTGGACGTGTGCACAGCTCTACATCTGTTTCGTTATTCCTATGACTGACGTATACTGTATGAGAAAGGATCTGCTGAACAAGGATTGAAAGCTCTGCTTGTCAATTGACTTGCAGGGACCACATACTATTAGTTTAACCACTTGCCCTCCAGAGGATTTACCGCCCCCCCTTCCTGACCAGGCTACTTTTAGCATTACGGCTCTGCATTGCTTCAACTGACAATTGAGCGGTCATGCAACGCTGCACCCAAATGAAATTTTACATCCTTTTTTTCCCCATGAATAGATCTTTCTTTTGGTGGTATTTGATCGCCTGTGCGGTTTTTATTTTTTGTGCTATAAAAAAAAAAACTGAAAATTTTGAGAAAAAGAACAATATTTATGACTCTTTGCTATTAAAAATGTCCAGTAAAAAAGTCACATGTCATAAATTCTACTTGTCTTTGCAAACAAAAATCCAAATACGTGTAAATTAATTGGTTATAGCGTTTACAAATGGCAGTATATATACTGTGATTTTTTTTTTTTTTTTTTTTTTTCACTAGTAATGACGGCGATCGGCAACGTATAGCGGGACTGCGGAGGGCATTCTGACACTGGGGGGAACCTACTTGGTGTCACTGACATCTCTAGTAACACCAATACAGTGATCAGTGCTAATAAAAAGCACTGACAGTACTAATGGCACTGGGCAGGAAAGGGTTAACGGGAAATCAAAGGGTTAACTGTGTGTTGTTTTGCTGTGTCTGTGTGTGCTTCACTGTAAGCACACTGCTTTGTATGGTTCTGCTATGCAAAACCATGCATAGCAGTGTGCAGGAGCTGACAAGGGAGAGAAACTGTATTGTTTACTTACAGTTCTCTCCCCTCCGTTGGTAATGCTCCTCGATCACCGGGTGCCAGCAAATGATCACCGGCTGGGACCTTGTGATTGACAGCTGAGGCCGCCAATAGTGGCGTGGGTAGTGCACGCGTGCCCCCTATCTGGAAGTGCAAAATTCCGTATATATACGTGGTTTTGCGCACCCGTGCCGCCCTGTAGCAGTATTACTGTTATAGGGCGGTTGTGAAGTGGGTAAAGCTAAATTCTGGGATAAGTAAATATAAATCCAAGAGTAGTATATTCTTACTTGAATCTGGGTGTGCTTTGTGTATTTGTTCCAGATCTGTGCAGAAATCCAGTGTGAAACAGTATCTCTTGAGCTTCTGATAACAAAGACCTGTCAGTACAGCTCTCACTCCTTGTGCAGGGTGACTGGTCTTGTGTCCGCCCCCCTCTGGTAGTTTTGTGCAGGCAGACTGCAGTAGGTGGAGCCTCATTGGCCCATCCCAGAGCTCAGCTCTTTGTACATGCTATGGACAGTACAATGATGACGGCACTACTACTTTTACAAGGTAATGTCTGGGCTTGCAAAAGCATTTGGGCACATACAAAATTGATTTGTGTTATGGCTTTTGAGGAACACATTTAAATGAGAGCTTTTGTGCCTGGAGTTCAGCCTCAAGCTAATGATGTTCATTTTTACTGCAACAAAACAAACTACTGCAAAAGCATGGAAAACTGTGACTCCTAAACTCACAAGAGGTCAAATTCAGAAAGATTATTAATAAGAAAATGACAGCAATATGAGCAACAGCATAGCTTTGTGTAACACCACCCCAGAAGGAGCCGCTGATGACTTTGGGTTCTCTCAGACCCCCCTGACACACCAGGCTGAATGGGAATACTGCAGACACCTGTGCAAGAGACTTTATAAGACAGTGCTTAAAAAGATAATTGTGGAATTATTTTTTTTTTTCCCCAGTTATTTACCTAGGTGGATGCTCTGTCCCCGCAAGCTCTGTCAGCAGCTCACTGAGGAGGCTCACAGCCGCTCTGAGCAGGTGGTAACTGTCTGCTCCAGGGCTCTGGGGTGGATCAGCTCACTGACTTTGCTCATCTGGGGTGGATTGGAATCTTTCCCCAGCCTGGACCGGCTGAGTGACGTCAGCTGACAGCGGGCTTCAGATCAAAACGGGTCACAGAAGTGCAGAATGAACTGGACTCCTGTGACCCACAGGAGAAGTACAGCCAAAAAAGATTTGGCTGTACTTCTCCTTTAAGGGGTTATTCCTCCACGTTGTGTAAAAAGGCTGTTTGATCTGTGTTCTCTGATCCTCCCCTTCCACTGTCCCCAACTCATCTCCTGATAGAACAGAGCCTTGGGGGCAAGCTGCACATGCTCTGTTTGGTGTATATTGCTAGAGAGTTTTTTTTTTTTTTTTTTTTTTTTTTCTTTTGGGAGGGTGCATGTGATCAGCACAGGGCCAATCAGCAGTGTCCAGACAGAGGGTCAGGGGTCATGAAACTTTATAGACCAATGAAACCTTTAACCAGTGCTCTGCTGGACACAGATAAAAGTTACAAGACTGCTATATACTGCTGATGAGAAAAGGTATTTTAGCACTTTATATTTACTAAAATCATTGCATTTCCATATTGTGTGTACTGTGGGAGACCAGATAGAGGGAATGCAGGGTCCTGGGTTTAAGTCAGCAGAAGACAAAAGGAAAAAAAACATTAGCTATGAATATTCCCAACTTGCAAAATATAGGATAAAAAAATCACAAAGATATACAGTGGAAGTGACCATGTAGTAGCAGGACCAAGCAATTCCTGAATAACCCTATGATCCAGGGGGTGCACTGACAACTCATGGGGCCCCCGGGCAATAAGGATCATGGGGCCCCTGTGTCCTTGCCCACACTCAAACCACACACAAAAAAAAAAGCCTACCAGGGGCATCTCATGGAGCCCCCTACTGACCCCGGGCCCTCGAGCAGTGCCCGAGTTCCCAAATGGTTAGTCCGCCCCTGCTATGATCACAGGAGCAAGAGGGGGAAGAGGAGACCTATAGTCAGTCAGCTTCCTCTACGTCCTGCCACCACAGGCAAAGAAAGCAATACAACACAATTTAGGCAACCAAGGTAGGAGTTCCCCCCTTAAAGTAACTGGTGCTACACAGTCCCACACAACAACAACAACAACCCCAGTCAGTGTCAGAATCTGCAGATTGATCTCTCTGAATGGAGGAACTCCTGGAGGTAAATGTATCCTTAGCACTCAGATATGAAAAGACAAAGAGGTGTCACTGTGCAATGGCCACTAGTAGAGTGAACAGGATGACAAAGATATTCTCCAACAGAAACCTTCAGGCAGATGAAAAACTTTGTCTGCATGCAGTGTTTATACTGTATTAGGGAGAATGTTGGGTTTGCACCAGCTGACCAGACCCCTGGGGTACGACACAACCGCAATCCGCTGTGGAAGTCCAGGCTCCTTTAAAGTGGCTCTAGGTCACCTCCTGACAATCGATCAAGACCATGAGTGGTAACACCTGCACAGTGCTCAGCAGCAGCTGACCCAACTACTGCGATCCCAGAAATGTTGGATGTCGCCCCATAGTTTCTAAGTGATGCCAAATTGCCGAGTGGGTTTACTGCACTAGATGGTGGAGCCGCGGCCTAGTCTTATAAGGGGAAAAAGAAACATGCTTGCCTCTGACAGCCTGCAAGTCACCAAGCCAAGAGTTCCAGCGTGGCTGCTGCAGAGAGATTTATCTCCCTCCGCAGGATGCCCTTTGGTTTCCTCTCCTCTGGTAAATGTAGTCTAGACGATGCTGAAAAAAAACACAGCGTCTCTCTGCGGTGGGACTACAGGTCTCAAGATCCTCTGCTTCCTTGACACACTCCCCACTCTGTCAGCAAGAGATGATGTATTTGCTCTGAACACTAGAGGGGGAGAAGGGAATATCAGTCTGTGCAACAGAAGTTCCTGATTTGCAGAATGACCCAGCCTGAACCTGGCTACATCTGTTTGAGAAAGGTGGAGACCCCATGGATACAACAATACTTACCACCAGATTTCAACATCTATGACTCTATTATAGGCCAATTAAAAAGATTTGACCAGCAGAAGAAATAGCCTAGTAACATTCATTTTCATTTTTATGCCCCATTCACACTTTTTCTAGGTGAATTTTGCAATGTAAAATTTTTCATAAATATTCCCATATAGGACTTGGAAACAAGCAGCACAATCATTTAGAGCAGGGGTCTCCAAACTTTCTAAACAAAGGACCATTTTACTGTCCTTCAGACCGTAGCAGGGCCGGACTGTCACCAGTGGGAGTAGAAAATGTCCTGGTGTCAGTGGGAGTGAATTTTTGGTATTAGAGAAATCGTGTCCCATTGTTGGTTTACGTAGGAGGAGTATTGCCCCCATTTTTATGTCAACAGGAGGAATCGTACCCCATCGTTATTAGAGTCGGTGGGGGGGAATAGTGCTTCATTGTTGGTGTCTGTGGGAGGAATAGTGTCCCATCATTGGTGTCATTGGGAGAAAAATTACCCCATCATTGATGTCAGTGAGAGGAATTGTGCCTCATTGTTGGTACTAGTAGAAGGAATAGTATCTCACCGTTGATGTCAGTGGGAGGAATAGTATCTCATCGTTGATGTCATGGGAGGAATAGTACCTCATCGCTGGTGTCAGTGGGAGGAATTATGTCCCATTGTCAATGTCAATGGGAGGAGTAGTGCCCTAAGGGCTGGAAAGGCAGACAAAGGGCCATAATCCAGCCCCTGGGTCATAGTTTGGAGACCACCGATTTAGAGGTTGGAAACTTTCAGGTGTCAAAATTAACTTCAGAAAAAAATCTGTAAGTACCTTTGGTGCCATAAAATTCTAAAGTGCTCTTTTTTCTTAAAGAATTCCAGGTATTGATAAATTATACATACACATACATACATTGATCCAGCTTGGATAAATGTAACTATGCATATACTATATCTGTGGGATCCCTCTAGAAGCTGAAAATTGCTGAAAATCACTGAAGTCAACCATTACTCCAGTGATCTCCACTTGCTTCCATGTTCCTTGCCCTGCAG